CGAAACTATCAATCAATTTCAGAGATCATTGTAACCTCCTATTTCAATAATTGTGTAATTAGAAGATTAGATTCTTTCGCAACATCGATATAAAACAATGATCTAAACACAGAGAACTACGCGTGTCAGATAATCTTGTTCACAGGTGAATCAAGTGCCAACACATAAAGAGATACAGTAAAACGAAGAGGATGGCACTCGACTGAGCCGCCGCTCCGCGAGCAGCACCCGATGACCGAGTGCTGCCGCGCGGGATAGGATTCCGCCGAGCAGATCCTCTGGTATCATTTTCGTTTTCTCGCCATTCAAGCAACATACACATACAACGGCGGGACCCATTTCGAAAAACCAAATACATGGAGAGAGAGAACGAGTGACTCAAACACACACACACACACACACACACACACACACACACACACACACAATTGTTTCTTCACTGATCCTTCTTCTTCTTCTTCTTTTTCTTCTTCTTCTCATTGCTACCCTACGGACGAATTGACTTATGGGAAAGAAACTGGAATACCGAGGTGATGCGCACATACGGACGACGCGGCGTCAACGAGCTCGCGCCAACCTTTTTCGACTAATTGTTAGACAGGGGGAAGAAATTGAAGTGTGCATATTATACGTACATCCAAAGGGTGTTCATCGACCAGAGATTATTTACGGGGGAGATATTTGAAACTGATCCGCATTTTTTCAGAAAAGTCTGGAATGTTGAAGCTATACATTTAGAAGTGTATTGAGATGGATAGTTCGACTTTGAAACCGATTATCTCAATTTCTTTAAAAGATAACAAAAATCTGTCCACTAATAAAATGTTTATCATAATATCACCAACATTTTATCAGTTGACAAATGTTTAATAACTGTTGTAGAAATTGAGATAATTCATCTTGAAGAACAAGCACGGTGAAACCTGTAATAGTCCAAACTTTTAACTTTGAGCTCAAATATGTTGGTTTTTGTCGAATGAATTAAAAAGTTATCAACTGGTGAATTGTGCGTCATAACATTAGAAACGTTTTGTCTGTTGATACATTTTTGATATCTGTTATAGAAATTGAGATAATAGAGCTAAACGTGCAAGTACAGGGTGGCATTCTATTAGAGCGTTTACAGTAGCTTGTAGTTCAATCAACAGTCTTGCTAAATATTAATACGGTATCGAAAAATGGGAAACTGATTTTTGCAAACTTCTTATCACAATGAGCACTTATTACCAAGATGGTCCAACTTTGATCCATTTTTAGCCTCTTTTTAGTGTGGCGATTGTGTTTACTAACTTTGTCTATCTTTAGAGAGAGCGTACTCCAAAATAACTTTTGAACTACGTTCTCTGAACGAGCGACTTCTGTAAAGTGTCTGTAAACTCAATTGAAAACCAAACAGACAACTACGAAAACCAAATCAGAAGATGAGTCTAAGCTCATCTCAAACAGTTTCAAATTCAGTTTTTAGTCTCTTTGACGAAGAAAAACCAAAAATGATTCTGAAGCGATTACGCTAGTTGTAATCGTAGAACACACACACACACACAAATTGAAACCGTCAAACGGTTTGAGCACCTACTTATCTCAAATCGCTTTCTTCGAAAAAGTTTTCATGGGTTGTGTACACATTGTCTGCAACAAGTTGCCATTCTGCACGAATGTTGCTTGTTTTGTTTACTTTCTCCTGTCCACAATGGTTTAGGAAGAGGAAGAAGAAGAAGGAAAAGAAAAGAAGAGGAAGAAGCGACAGTATATCATGGATATATCATTTCTGCGTCAATCATCTTGTTAATCTATTTACAAGTATTCGCGAGAAGTATCTCTTGCGTGCGCGTTGCTGCTTCTCTCTCTCTCTTTCCGCGCGGTATGCCATTCCATTCCACTGATGAGTTCCGGATTAGGGCGGAGAGGGAGCACCGCCCTCCCGAGAGGGCGCCGCGGGAGCTCTCCCAGGTGTGCTCCAGAGCCAATCGAGTATAAAAGCGCGACGAGTTTCTCATTGAGCATCACACTAGCTTCTTCTCACTACACATGGCGCGCCTCCTCCTCATTATCGGATGCGCTACTCTCGCAGGTTTATCATTTTTCCAACATTTTACTACTCATCTTTTCATCTTTCACTTTTATACGTTTCTTTTCGTTTTTAGCCTTCGCTTCCTGCGAATCTAAGAGTGGCGAGGAAACTCCACAATACTGGAGAGCCATTCTTGGTGATATCTGCCAATTGCCATCGTTTCCTAGAGCCACTGGTGATCCAACCCGTTATGTTGAATGTGTGCGTCAATCCTCATTTGCTGCTGATAGGTAAGATTCATCTCTCTTCTTCTTTTCCTTATTATTCTTTTTCTATGTTATCTCATTTCCAGAAAAGATCTCGGAATCTGGCTTCTTCGTGAATGCCTTCCAGGATACGAGTTCGTTGCTTCTGCTCGCCGTTGTAAGACTGTCCGTTCGGTCAACAAACAACAAGTAAACTTTACTCATTCTTATTTCTATATATTCCATTCCTTTCTCTTTAGGAGCTTTGCGAGTCTGCCAATGCCACTGAATACAACTTCTGCCCAACTGCTTCTGCCATGCAATTCCTCGTCGAAGAGATCCGTGAGGCTCCAAGACAGTGCGCCTGCCCCAACGGAGAGCAAAACTGTGTCTGCCCATCTCCCGAAATCCTCGAGCCAATCTCTGCTGCTAAGAAGGTCCGCAGATCCGCTCAACAGCAACCACTCAGATTCTCGCAATACCCATCGTGCCCATGCCCACAAAACCAACCAGCATGCACTTGCTCTACCAACAACCAACAGAACGAGCAGATCCTTGTTTCCATCTCTTGCTGCCAACAAGATGTTGCCACCACTCAAGCTCCAGTTCAGATGCAACCATGCCAATGCACCCCAACCCAAATCCAACAGGTAATAACTTTAATTCTCTTATAATTTCATCATCTATTCTTATATTAGAACTGTCAAACCACCACCACCCAACAACAATACTGCCCACAACAATCTGCTCCAGTTGTCCAGCCACAACCATGCCCACTCGGTAATTCGTAACCCAACTTGACCTATTTTCAAACTTCCCAATATTTCAGTCCAAGGATCCGGAGTCCAAAACGCTCAATACCAAGGAATCTGCTCGTGGATGATTGACCCACTTGCCACTGACCCACAATCCCGCACTCACTTCCTCCAATGCCAACCAGCTCCAAACAACTTGTTCTGCGGAAGATGGCAACGTATGCCATGTGCTCCAGGAACCGTCTTCGACGTCTCCTCCCAAGTCTGCGTCTGGGACACTTCCAGCCAACCAGGAACTCTCCCAACTCCAGCTCCATACGTCTCCACCCAAGCCCCACAAAACGCTCAATGTGGATGCACTGGAGGAGTTCAAATCGGATCATGCAACCAAAACTACCAATGCCCAGGACAATCGGTCTGCCAAGTCGGACAAAACAACGGACAACAGGTAATTTAGAATTGGGGAGAACGGGGGTGGTATAGTAGGGAATAAATAAAAGAATTGACGAGTGGCACAACCAACCGGCTCCCCCGTTCTTATTCCTCTCTGTTAGAGCAATAGGGGGACGATCACAATAGAGTCTCGAGGGAGCTCGAAGAGATCATAAGCAAACGAACATTGTCTCGATTACAGTGCATGGTTTGCTGCTACTTCCGCAAGAAGGCCCGTCGTTTCTAAATCGATCGAAAATACTTCCAACGCTCTTCAACAACATCTTCATCTTCATCGACTCTTCTCGCTTCGCCTTTTTGTATATAACGTGAAGAAAAAAAGAATCAAAAAACGGATACGCATAGACAACAATAATTGTACCGCCTAGTTTGCCCTTTTGCCTCTTCCTATTTTTCTGTCTCTTCTCCCTTCTTTCGTCAATATTTGTATTTTGAATTATTGTTCATTTTTAGGGGTTTCTCTGTTCAATGATAACTATTATATAACTTATGATGGTACTTCAATAAATATATATTTTCAATTTGTTTCATTTTTTATATTTTCAAGTTTCAGCATTTTAGAGAATGATGAAAATCACATCATTCGTTCAAAAATCGGGTTCTAGAACATTTGATCTCCATAACCCAAATAGTAACTATAGCTCAGAGATACAGTTCTTAAGTTTTCTGAAGTTTAAAAAAGACGTTTTTAGTTTCTTCACTTTAATTTTGAAGAGTGTTCCATTTCCGGTCATAACCAAGCAATTTTATGCCCATGCTTCTGCCAAAATGTTCTACATTTCCAGGTTTTTTGGGTCATTTCTTGCCTCTTCATATATCTAATAAATAATTTTTCTGGTTTAAGGATAATAACATTTTGCATTCGGATTTTGGGTCAATTACACTTAATGCATAAAAACAAGCCTAACACCTCTCCAGTGTAAAACAAATTGACAGGCCTAGATTGAAAACTTTGCATTGAACGATTTTTTAGAATTTCTAGTTTTTCAGCTATTTGTCCATTTCTGAAAGACACCTTTTTAACGTTTTCAGTACAAAAACCGGCCAAGAAGAGGTGTCTTTCATTTCACTCTAAATTTCAACTTCTCATGTTACATTTTAGCTGTACAATAACTTGTCCAACGAATGACCAAAAGTGTCAGATTCCATACTAGTCCGACAAAATGACTTTCTTTTTAATTCCTGCGATTGATAAAACTTCCGATATACTACAAAATCAATGTTAATGTGTGGTGAAGACTTTTCGTTAATTCTATTCTTTTTTCTTTCGACTATCACATTTTGTGACTGGAACAATTCTATCTATCAATTTAAGAAACCCTTCACAGTGTAATCGGCCCACCTTTCGACTCTAACTCGTTCGTGTGATTTCAGAAAATTTTTCAGAAAAGACAGAAAGGACAAAGAGTTGAATTTTTATTGAATCATGTGTAAGTGATTACAATTTTTTTTTAAAGATTTCAAAGAAATCAATTGCAACAATAACGAAAAAAAAGCAGAATGAAATGGCAAATCGGACATTGAGTGTAATGTTGTTTAGTGAGCCTTCTTGGCTTTAGCCGCCTCGACTCCGGTTCTGTATTGAAGAACTCCCTTCGCTTTGTGGGTCAAATAATCGAGGGTCACGTTATAACTGAGATACTTGAAGAACCAGTCGTAGTTGACTTCTCTCTTGTACCCGTACTGAGTGTTTTTCAGTGGTTCGAGAGCTTTCTGAATGGCTGGAGTGGCCTCCAACAGGTGGTAATGTGGAATTTTGGTGAAGAAAAAGTGATGGGCGACGTGTCCGTTGGTGATGTTGTGCATGATGTTGTCGAGTCCGAATCCCCAATGTCTGTCAATGGTTTGGGTTTGTCCACGAACGAATCCCCACTCATCAGCCTCGTAAACCTGGAATATATTGTCGTTTGTAGTTTTCCTTGTAGTTTGTAGTTAGAAGTTGAACTTGAATATTAATATACCAGTCAAAAACTAGGTCCCAGCTGGCATTAATATAGCTTTTGAAAATGTTCACCTCGATGTTCTCATTTTGATGTTGAAGATATGTGATGATGACAAGAATGAGTCCTTGGAAGAGAAGTGGAATGTAGTAATACTTGACGAAAGTGTAGACAGAGTAGCCAGAAAGAGCAAATGCAATCTGAAAAGAGATAGAAGGGTCAGCTACATAAATTGAGAAAGGAAGGAAAACTCACGTAAGCGCAAATGGCGCAGGCAACTCCGGAAACAACGCACTTCACACGATCTTCGGTGGTTTCGAAAAGTCTGGACCATGGCCAGAAATGAGATCCATCTGGAAGACCGACGATGGTATAGATTGGATTCCAACGCAACCATCCGGAAATTGGAATAACGGCGAAGTACTTCTCAATGGCGGTTCTGTTGTTATAGTCCTCTTCGGTAACCCATGGATGTCCCTTATCTTTCTCCAAATGAGAAGTGTATTGATGATGTTGTCTATGAGATTTTTGCCATGGCCAGAATGGAGCAAGAATTGGAGCATGGGCAAGATGTCCACAGAGATCGTTCAACCACTCGTAATCGGAGAATGATCCATGACCACAGTCATGTCCAACACAGAAAAGAGCAGATCCAACGATTCCCATAGCCCAGTACCAGGCAAAGAGACCAATCCATCCGAGATAATGCTCAATGTATGGAACTGCAAAGTATAAACCAGCAAGAAGGAGATAATCCTTGATAAGATAAGAAATGGAAATCAGAGGATCCTTGACAAAGCAGTGCTCTGGAATTGCAGCCTTAAGAGCGGCAACTGATGGAAGTTCTGGAACCTTGATGGTTTCCAAATCTTTTTTGCTTGTTTTCACTTTTGTCGCGATTGTCATTTCTTCTCTGTTATTACCTGAAATCGAGAAAAAAGTAATTTAGGAAAGAGATCTTAAATCTAGGATCAACGATATAGTGGCCAGAGTAGATGAGGAACTATAGATTTAAAAAGAATTAAATAAGAAGAATGAAGTAAACTGGGGTTATGGGTCAAAAAAGATTGTCTAGTGAATGACTATAGGAGAGGACAATTTCAGAAAAAAATTACTTCTCGCCTATCAGAGAAGGTAGTCTCATTCTTAATTTCTTCTTTCTCTTTCCTCCTCCTTTTCCCTTTACCCTCATATCGAAAAACCGAAAAGACCACCGCACAATATGGCGTGATTTATTCTACGAAACCATCCTGCCCGCGCCCGCTCCTCTCCGTATCTCTCATTCGCCAGCCAGCAAGCCAGCACGTACTCGTGTCCTTTGCCCTCTGAGATAGTCTAGGTTATTGAGATACAACAGACACAAATCAGTGCACTTTCTTTTGAAAAGTTGAGAATGGATTGAGAGAGATAAGGCAAAAAGACGCAGACTTGCCGGATGGGTAGACATTTTTCAAAGGTTTGGCAGACACATGAATCAATGAATCAAACTTTTGGAGACTTTGAAAATCATATCCAGCGCTAAAGAACCCAACTTTTCCAGTTTTGTGATTATTCTGGTACAAAAAAATAGGATCTGAAGGTCCCACAACGGCAATTACCGTAATCCTAAGCCTATCTTCATTTCCAGTATTCACTTTTCCGTTTTTTCTCAGGCAAGTCGGAAAATTAAAGTTCAAATTGTGAAAAAAAAATGACTGAAAACGCACGAGAATAGGAAAAAGTATTCTAGAAAAAAATTAATATTTTTAGGTTGCAGCAGTTGTCGTTGTGGGACCTTCGACCACGGAGATTTCATGAATTCTACACATTGTCAGGATAAATGTCGGATTTCACTGCTTGAGAAGGTTTAGTATTTCTATGCAAACAAGGTAAAATCAGAATATACCTTTTTTTTTAACTCCTTCTCGACCATCTGCTCTTTTTAATAAAAAACCAAACTACAGTATGTCTTAACCTAGCAGGAACAAAGTCCGACTTTTTCTTCATATAACCACTTTCCTTTTTTATAACAGAATACAATGCTACAAAACCGAAAAAAGATCTTCCAAGTATTCCCGTGTTCAAACTACAGCCTGTGAATCAAAGAACCATCAGTAAAAAACGGTCACCCGATAAAACAATCCGTTATCATTGTAAGGTGAGAAGTCGGCGACACTGTGAAGCAGACCGGACAAAGTGCAGTTCTTTTTGACACTATCAGTGTTGAGATGAAGTTCTTTTCTAATCTGAATGGCAGCATAAAAATTGTGAAAGTCGTTTTATATTTTATTGCAATCAGAAAAGATGAATAGAGAAATTGGGAGCAAGAATGAAATAGAAAAATTGTAGAGACAGGCGATTAACAACCCGGTGAAAACGCAAGAGGTGTTGTACTCTGAAACGGCTCGTTGACTCGTTTTACTTGGCTTTTGCCTTCTCCTCAAGAGTTGTTCGGAATTGAAGGATTCCTTTAGTCTTATGGACAAGATAGTCGAGCTTGATGTTGAACCATAGGAAGCGGACGAAGAAGTCGTAATTTACTTGGTACTTGTATCCGTACTGAGTCTCGAACAGTGGCTCCAAAACCTTCTTCACACCTTCAGTAGCTTCGATCAGATGGTAATGTGGAATCTTATTGAAGAAATGATGGGCAACGTGTCCGTCAGTGATGTGATGCATGGTCTCATCCAATCCAAATCCATAGAAACGATCGATAGTCTGGGTTTGTCCACGCACGAAACTCCACTCATCAGCTTCGTAAACCTGTAAACCGGATTTCCTGATTTGAATTCGTCACTAGGATTCTTACCTCAGCAACTTCATCAGCGTGTTGAAGATAGGTGACAATAACGAGCATGCATCCAAAGAAGGAAAGTGGAACCCAGTAGTACCAGAACCAGTTTGAATAGGATCCAGCAATCGCGAGAGCAACATAGGCACAAGCGACACAGCAAGTGGCAGAAATCACGCATTGAACACGCTCAGAATCACGGACGAAAAGAGAAGAGTATGGCCAGAAATGAGATCCATCGCAGAATCCGAACAGTGTGTAAACGGGGAACCATTTGAGCCATCCCGAGAACGGCATTGGATTGAACAGCTTCTTCCATGTTGGCATCTTTTCATAGTCTTTGTCTTGAATCCAAACGTGTCCGTGATCTTTGTCAATATGGTTGGTGAACTGAAATTCAATAACTAGGATGCGTAAGAACACCGATTATTCTTCCAAAACTTACAGCGTGGTGAAGTTTGTGACTCTTTTGCCATGGGAAATAGGGAGAGAAAAGAGGAGAGAATGCGATGTGTCCAATAATATCGTTCAAAACTTGATTATCTGAGAATGATCCATGAAGACAATCGTGTCCGACAACAAACAAAGCGAATCCGAAGACTCCCATCAATACGTTCCATGCCAGATAACCGACAAGTCCAAAGTATTCGAAGACAGGAAGAGCAAAGTAAAGAAAAGCAAGGGCCGCAAAGTCTTGCACCAAATATCTGAGAGATCTGGTGAGATCGCGTTCGAAGCAATGGGGTGGAATGGCACGACGGAATGCATCCACAGTTGGCAATTGAACGCGCTCCTCCTCAGTAGACTGTTGAGTTGAATCCAAGGAGCGTGGTGGCTTCTCTTCAATAGAAACGCGAGCATCAACCAGAACATCTCCGCCGGTGACCGGAGCCGTGGCGGATAACCCGTCTGAGGAATGAGCGACCATACCTGAAACGAAGTTTAGTTCAAAAGTGAAGACAAAGAAAAAATAACAGAGTACGAAGAACATTCAGATTCACGTGATGGGGAGCAGAAAAAGCTCTGGGGGAGCGTTTGTTATGCATGCAGTTGTGCTCGTCCGAGTGAAGACGAATGCGTGTGCTGACTCGATAGATGGATTAGTTTGGCAGTGAAGCTAGCTGGGGGTTGGCTCAAAAAAAGAGAGAGAGAGAAACTAGTTTGTACAATATTTTTTTGGAGAAGAGGAGATAAGGAAAAACAATTAATATAGAGGTGCTTGATATATTTTTCAAAGACGGCACAAATACAAAACAGCTCGACAAGGGAATGCCATCAGAACACAATCTTATCTTGCTTTCTTTCGCATTCTGCCACGTATTCAAGTCGTGACTGATATAAATTTATATGAAAAAAGAGCTCTCCGGTTGAGTTCAGTTTCGTGCAATATCACTTGACGCACATGAATTATGGGCTGATAACGAACAACTGTCTCATCGGGACAAAGAACGAACTATGATGCAAACCTACTTTGAAAGTGAAAAGAGAAATAATCGGGTGAGAAGATGCTTCGAACGCCCCTTGGTACTGTAGTAACGAAAGTGTCAGCTGCTCTTTGCATAATTAGTTCACGTTCAAAATTGGAGTTGGAACTAGAAAATTTTGAAGAGATGCCTAACCAGGAAGTATTCTTTCCACTTTGGCTTTTGTATTTTCTAAGACATTCTGTAGCTTTAGATATTATTTTTTAAAGATTATTGAATGATCACATTTGCACTTTTTCTAGGTAGAGTTTGAAAATCTTCTTCTTCCTCTGCCACCAAAACACATATTATGGGAACAAAGAAGATGGTTCGATTTGTAGGTCACATAGAATCCGAATTCAAGCAAGAGTAGAAGGAGAAAAAAATAGAACAAGTTGTGCAAATTGGGAGCTGTGGGCAGAAGCGTCCTCTCCCGAGACCCAATCGTGCGCTTTTTTTTGTGGCGCATTTTTCTTTTCTTCACATTTTCCGAGAAGAAATAAAAGAAGGCTGACGGCAGAGTACATCTATAGGACACATATGAGACCATATCATCAGCCTTATCAGCAGTTCCCGTTTCACCGAAAGTACAGAAAGACTATTCAAATGGTTTTTTGGAATAGTTTTTTTTCGAAAAAAAAACGAAGGAAACGAAATGGGGCCATGACTAAATAGCTACAAAATCATAACAAAACAACGCTGATTCATAGCTGGACACTTTTGTTAGAAAGAAAACGGCCGAAAAAACGAGTAAGCATGTAAATACAAAAAAGGGGAATCGCATGAATAAGTCGCAACGGAAATGAATGAATTCTGCTCGGATATGAATGGGAACGAGAGATACAAAAATTGAGGGACGGAAAGACGAGTGAAGGTTATTTGTGGGAGAACTTCCACTTTGCACTTTTTGAACTCATAATTTGTGGATATACGAAAATTTAGGCCAATAAAATAGGATTTGGCAGACAACAGTTGGCGAGTGCACTCGAATGAAATAACCTCTGCACCAGACCGTACCGCCTCTTTTTCTGCGTCTCTCCATTGCACACGAACTTTCCGTTCGCTCTGTCGCCGCGACAAAAAGACCAATGGGCTGACTGCAGAAAAGAAGATTGCGGCAGGCAGACTGAGATGAATGATGATCTTCACGATGAAGATAATGTGATGGGTTTTTTAAAAGTTCGGTGAAAGACGAAGACTCTTTATTCGAGAAATGTTCAACATCAAAAACAAACAAAAAAAAACTAAATATTCAAACTAAAGTATTTAAAACTAAATGATTATACTGAAAAATCCATTCATACTGTAACCGCATCAAGATTGGCTAAATGTTGAGATTCTTTGGATAGAGCAATCGTTAGCTCTTTTTCAGTAGGCCTGAATCCCAAAATCTTTTCTAGTAACACAGATGGATGATGTCCTCCTCCATGCGACTGAACCTCGGCCCAACAATCTCCCCATTTTCGTGAAAATGGATCGTCCATGAATCTTTGCTGCCAAATCAAACAGGCGGATGCTCTAGCGACGAGATAAGAATAATATTTCGCTCCATACTGTACTGTGTGATGGAACCGATGTTGGAATGCAGATCCGAGTTCTCTCTGTACATTAGGCATTGCTTTATTCATGATGTCATTAAACAGTTCAGTTGTCGTCATGTGACCATATGCGATTTGTGGAGCTGCAATAGGACCATGCACTTCAAGATCATAAAGTCCATATGCAGCTTGTTGAACTGTTTCGATCGCAGTGAATGAATGCCTGGAAGCAAGAAGTGTAGCTGCTGACTCGATAGGAAGTTGATCATTCGGTCTATCTGTCCGCTTGATAATATCTGTCATGACCTTCAAATCACTGAAGAAGTATTCCATGAGATTCGATGGGATTTCCGAAAAGTCTTGTGGGCATCTGGTTCCAGCGACATGTTGGTATTTTGTCCTTCCCAAAATACTATGCATAGCATGACCAAGTTCGTGGAACATTGTTTCAGCCGAATGGAAGCTGATCTAAAAGGAGTGAATTGAGATACATGCTAATTGTTTTCAGTGGACCAACTCTCGTATCTCTCCATTGTGGGCTGCGACTATCCACCAATCCCAGTGATAAAACTAGTATAGGCATTTGCCACGTGCCATTTGAAAGATGTTTAGAACAGCGCACAGTGTAATGACAGTCCCCGACAGCTTTGTCCGGACGAATAGAAACATCTACATAGACCACCCCCAACTCATTGTTCTGCTCATCCACTGCTTTCTGTAAACAATAGTTAGCATACATTTTCATTCAACTCTTACCAGTTTCATAACTCCTGAAACATTCCACATTTCTCCAGGAGAAAGTGGTTTTTCTACCAAACGAACACCATAAAGTCGGTGAGTCAGAGCAGAAAATCCCTTCCAGACAGAGGTGAATGTAAAGAATGGAGACGATTCTTGAGAGATTTTTGCGATATCATACGCACTTTCCTGAAAATTTTCATCTATTCGGTTTCCATGACAAAAATACTAACTCTGTACAAATGCATGAGAAACCCCAGATCATGATCATCAATGGATGATGCTTGATGATTGCCGTTTCTGTTCTGTTGGCTACATTGTTCGGAAACATCTATCAAAACTGCCAACTCTTTTTCAAATGAACCGCGGCATTTCTGAATTTTCAGAAGTTGAAATCTTCAAGTAATCCTTACTGACCTCAATTACACCCCATAGAAAGTTTTGAGCATTTTCATAGTTTTCAAGCAACGAATTTCTTTGTGCACGATGAGCAAATGATTCGAATCCAGTTAGCAATGCAAGCTCATGTCGAGATGAGATGAGCTTCCGCAAATAGTTTTCTTGCTGATCATCATGACGATAGAATGCGTTATAAACCATTTTTCGTTTCGATCTGTCTAATGAATTCGAGACCGGTGAATAGATCTGAGAGGACAGACCATATTTTGCTTGATCGAATCTTAATGTTCTCTGATATTTTTAGATTGCATTCCATATGTTTCTTACTTCCCAATGGATACTACTCTGTCGCAATTTTCCTGAAACCGTGCACCGAACTCGAAAATGTCAGAGGAGAGTTGAACGAATTCGTTTTTCTGAGCGTCTTCTAAATGCACGCCACTTTGTTCAAAGTCGTCCAGTAACAACGCCAACGTTCTACGATCAACATCGTCTAATCTAGATGCTTCTGTCACTTCTGAAGATTTCAGTTTTTGATAAAGTGCAGTGTTTGTGTTCAGGCTCTCGACCAGCTCGCAAAAATCTCTCGAAACGTTTTCAGCAGCTTCTCGATACTTTGAGTCGCTGTGTAGTTGACGAACGCATTCCGCCTGCATAAAATTTCTGATTTGAAAATACATCATTTTCTTTTTACCAAGTCGGCTGCTTTACAAATCTCGTTCGAGATGTCATCAACAATTTCTATTGAAGTTCTCGACGAATCCAAAGGATCCAGTAACTCCTGAAACCAGAATTCAGTCTTTCAATCTGAACCTCCCGATAGGGTACCTTTATCAGTGAATCTGTAGATGACTTTACTTCGACTGGTAACTCATGGAAACTTGCTGGCGAACTCAGTTTTTTGTACCCAAAAAGTCCTTTTCCTTCTTCGATCTTCTCACTTTTGAAGGCTCTTCTCCACTCACTAAAAAGCGAACTCTGCCTTGTGAAAGCTCGACTATGTCGCAGTATCACACTTCTTAACATTTTTTTTTTCTGCTGGAAACTTTTACTTGTGAACTTTAAAGTTTGTTTTCAATGGATCCAGAGGATATAAGGCACTGAACCTCTAAAAAACCAGTGAGATCGAAAGATACATTAAAATTACTTGTGATTGGAATTATTGATGATATCGTACAATAAATATAAACAGTGAAATGAGATAACGCTCGAAAATTAAGAAACTTGGCTTGAATCTTCGGACTCGTGATTTCCCGAAGCAGATGGTCTTGGCGCATCTGGGATATAGTTTCTGCTCGATGGTCCAGCATTCTCTTCATGGCCGGATAACTCCATTTCATCTGTTCCAGTGGGAGCGAGGACACTAGTGTTACTGCGAGACGAATTCATTGCCGCTGAATTCGAATATTAATTTCTATATTTTTTTTCAGGGTAAAAACCTCTCGGTGGTGGACGTCTTCTTCTGAAACCAGCTGGCGAGTCAGCAGCGTGAATCTTTCTGCGAGGACCACTCATCTCATTTTCCAAATCTTCCTCGTCGAAATATTCATCATCCTGCTGATTGAAATTTGCTCATCTTAAGTAGACAGGATTTTTTTTTATACCCACCTCCATTTGAATCGGACGTCCAATATACTGTGATTTGAACTTCAATGGGTGAGCCCAGCGGCTACTAGACGATTTTCCGTGAAATCCATCGTCAGATAGAAGATCTGCGCGCTGCGCTGCCAATTTCGTCCACATGCTCTGCATGTTGCCGAGAAGAGATGTCAACTTAGGCATCAACGAGAATACAGTCATGGTCTTTTCTTCTTTCTCGAAGTGCTCGCTAAATTCAAATGAATATCGATCAATTGTTTTCAATTTCTGAGCAAGCAGATTGGCTTCTTTCAGAATGTCGAAATTTGGCTGGAGAGTTCCGTCTTGAATCTTCTCCAGATAAGCAACGATAAGCTGAAACACGCATTTTGCGATAATGTGAACTATCAAGAAACTTACGTCAACGCGATTCTGGAGCATGCTCATGGCAGCAACCTGAGCCTCTCTATGTTTCTGGCCAACAGATGTTTCGTCCTTTCCGTGTTTAGTTGAAAGCTTTGCGATATGATTGACACCCACGCGCTCACTATCCTCAGAAACGAGGAACCACTCAATCTGCCTATGTTTCTCAGCATCGGCTACGTCAGCTTCAAAAGCAAAAAGAGGCAGCTTACGCGTTGTTCCAGCAGTCAGAGAGTTCAGTTTCAGAAAAAGAGTAGCGTCAATTTGTCCCGCCTTTTCAGAGTTACGGACAGAAGTTGTGAGCTTCGAAAGAATAATTTTCTCTTCATTTGTCAACTCATCATCTTCTCCTGCGCAATACAGACCGATAACTTGAAGCTCGGGGAAAACTTCCAGGTCTGAAGATAATGGTAATAATTAACAACTCTTCGTTATGTACGACTCACATTGTTCGGCCCTGAGAAGAAGGTGTTCGGCACTGAAGGTGGCTTGATTGGTCATTTCTTCTGTTTCCGCCTTCAACACAAAAGAGTTGACTGCTTCCACTTGTCTTCCATTTTGTTTTCCAAGAACTGCTCCATAAACTTTCTTCACATTGGCTCCCTGTTGGACCTTAGTTCTTGAATAGTGCTCCGACATTTGCATGATGACCAATGGATGCAGAAGCACTTTTGTGCTGCAGCTACCACTCGGGGAACTCAGTATCATCTCTGGAAACGAATTATGTTATTATGAAGCCATCATAACGAAAATCGAATGTTATTTGGTTTCCGTCATGATTTCACATATGGGTTATTCATGGCAATAAAAATGTTTTGAAACCTCACACACTGTCGAAAAATGCGGTAAGGTTTTTTTTAATTAACTTTTCACCCAGTTTTTGGATGCCGCACGAATAGGTTTAAAAACCATTTTTATATCATGAACAACCGTAATTAAAGTCGAGCCGAACAAATCAATTGAGGTGAAAAATCAATAAAAGTATGGGAACGTATTCTGCGCACATTGTATTCGATTAATCAATTGCAAGAAAGGACAGTTTATTGATTCACATTGACTTTAGTTTTATCGAACATAAAACCGCCTACAAAAGAAATAATGCGATCGAATAGGAAATATTTAGGATCCTGGAGCCTTGACATGGCTGAGTGGTGGTAGTGGCTTTCCAACGACCAGAGAGATGAGGTTGTAGATTGCGATCACAAAGCAAATGTAGGAGAGGACCTTGGCGATTTTGCTAACGGCAACATCGAATGGTCCGGCTTCCTCGGATTTCTTTCCCTCGAGAAGAGCGTTGGCGTAGGTATCAACACGCTTCTTGAGAACTGGATCGTAGAGTCCGTACTTTCCCATGACAAGATTTCCGACCTTGGTTCCTTCTGGGAGACGAGGAAGAATCTTTCCTCCTGCTCCGAGTTGCCACTCTCCTGGATTCAGTGGGTCGAATTGCTCGAGGGTTGGTGGAGTTTTTCCGGCGTTGGTAGGAACCGCCTGGAAGCTAGCAGTTCTCATGGAGAAACGAGCAACTCCCAATGTCTTTCTCAAAGCCAACGACATGATTTTCCTGTAAAGTATTGAAAAATAGGCAATGAAATAAATGATAACAAAGTATAGGAAGTGTGGATAACACTCAAGTTTGAAAGGTGATTTAATAGGAGCAGTGTTTATGATTTATTTGAAAGAAAAATTGAAGTCAATAAAATGGGAGCGGACTGGCATGGTATGCTCGTTTACCGCATTCCAAAACAGCATCAAACAATCGGAACAATCCGGTGTCTCTCGGCCGTTCCAATCCTCTTCGCATTCTTCTCCTCATTACGGCAACCATTTCTTCGTGCGATAACTTTCCGTCCAGATTATCATCAAACAGGGTAATCACGACGTCAACGACATGATCAGAAAGTGGTATTCCAGTTACTTTAACAGCAACGCGTTTCAAAAGCTTTGCATCAATGGACATCCCGGCCATTTTATGAAAGTGAAGAGCAATATCAACATCATCGATGTGATATAAAAACTCAAAAAACGCTTTCGTTTCATCGAAGCTAACTCCTTTTGACTGATCGCCTTTAAATCGTCGTTTTACACGTTTCAGCATGTGCTTCTGCTTTTTCTCCGCTATCTGAGCATGGAGAAGAAGTAGTTGCGCAAAACTCTCTTCTGTGATTAACCCATCTGAATTTTCCATCGCATCTCTTCTCTCAAACTCCATCTTCAAAATATCATGTTGGAGACGTTCTTGAAATTCGATGAACTTCTCCGATGATAAGCTCCCCTTTCCATCTTTACCGAAAAAATATGTCTCAAGTGCAGAGTTGGTTTCGACTCGGAAAGACGAATTAGGTGTAACGTGATCGCGGTGTCGTTGACCAACAGTCGTTTGAGACATGATAAGTTGTTGTACTTTGGTGAATTCTTCTTTGTCCAGAGCCCCATTACCATCAACATCGAAGATTTTGAACGCGAGAGCGAAGTCGGCATGGGATGCTGAAAGCTAAACGTCAGGTCAATTTTCTCTAGAAAGCTTACTTGAAAGCAATGTCATAAGAAAGAGGTAATCGCTGAAATTAATAAGACCATTCTCTCCTAATTTGTAGAAAATACTGTTGGGATCAGAGAATTTGTGACGTTTGTGCTTCTGGAAACATAATTTCAGACTTGAAAAGAGACTAGAAATGTACCTCTGGATTGTATGCCTTGAAACTATCAAGACCCCATCTTCTTGGTTGCATAACTCCTGGTGTAAAAGAACGAAGAAAATCTTCGGGTGTCATGAAAACTTCAAAGATTCGGCCACTCTCGTCGTTGGGATCAATAATCTACAAGTAAAATAATTTAGCTTATATGAGCAAAAGTGGAAATCTACCTTCAATGTTGCGAAGTAGCGGAAGATTTTGTCGGGTGTTGAGTACAATCGTAGCCGGTCTTCATACTCTATAATTCGTCGCTCCCTAAACCCAAGTTTCTTCTTCTTTGGCTTTTCCTTCACTTCGATTTCAGTACCGCTGTCTGTTGACTCCTGAAAGGCATAATTTGAGAAACTGTAATGTCACAAGAAATGAATTCGAATTTTGATCTGCTATACTTAGTGACGGTTGATATTAGCTATTTAAAACTAACTATTTTATGAAGCAACACACATAAGCTCGTATTAGACCGACTAGGTGCAGCAGCTCACTTCTTTTTGAGAAGCTTCCGGTCGGAAAGGTGTAGATGCACCTTTGATCTGTTCCTTTATCCTGCAATGAATTCTCGAAGTAATTTTTACCACTTTCAAAATATTTACCATTCGAAGTCGCTCATTAAAATCACCATTCCAGCAATGACAAAGGCATAGTTCCAGTTGTACATTTTCCGTAGCGGAGGCCAGATATACGGGCGGTGCTGATAGACCGAATTTGAATAGTGCGAGTACCCAGTTCCACTTGCTCTGAAAAGTGGAAGATAAATTGCGATCTATAGCTATTTGCATACCTGTCTGTGTAATGGAACACATCTTTCTTTTGACGGATGTTGCCAAGAGCCGTATAAGCTTCGCCGGAGTCTATATTTTTCAACGAATCTTGCTGTTTTCTTGATTCTAAAAAACGATGGTTGTAATTTGTTGATGTTGTGTTCTGAACGCACCACCGGCTTTAATAGGAGCTGAACTGACACTTCTAGTAATACTCCACGAATTAGCGACGATTCGGATGAAAATAGAAGATCTAAAATTGTGTCGAAGCATGGAAAAATGGGAAAAAATAGGAGCTCGATACAGTGGGCGGTTTCTCGCGTCGCGTGCGTTTTATCAACAGGGCATGTTTGCTTTGCATTCCGTCTCTCCAGTTAACACAGTCTCTCGTGGCAGTGAAAAAACTGCGTCTCTCCAGCTGAAACAGTCTCTTGTGGCAGTGAAAAAAATACTGTTTTTCTTGTACTTTGTTTTTTTCAAGTTGGTTCCTGTTCCACAAGGAGCTATTATAAGCTAATCAATGATCAATATTATTGGATGGGCGCCAGACTCCCATGAGGTAGTTTTCAGTCTATTTCAGTTATCATATATCTCGCAATTTCAGCCAAGCCCAGAAACATCTTTCCTGAATCAGTTTATCAGCCCCTTCGGCACAATTGAAAGCGGAGATAAAAACTGTAATACATTCTTTTTTATTCGAGCATGTTAAATTATGATTCAGATCCTCGAGTCCGCTCTGGTCATCGATGTTTCACAGACAACGACTATTTGTATCTAATTGGAGGATATACTCATCAGATTCGGAGAGGTTCTATTTTCAAGGAGATATGGGCAATGAGCCTCGCCACATTTGAGTGGAGACGTTATGAAGTTATTGGAGAACTCCCAGATACACTCGCTTCCTTTGCTAGTGAGTCTCTATCGCTAAACATAATCAAAACAGTTTTGACAGTTTTCAGTTATTCAAGTCTTTCCATATTCCAAGACTTTTATTCTGTTTGGAGGTAGTGGTACAGCGTTTGGGACTTCTTCTTCGAATCGCTTTTACTTTGTTGGTGTAGACAATAACAACTGCTGCGTTGAGTCATACGAGCTAAAAGTAGGAGGAGATATTCCTTTACCTAAATATGGTCATGCAATGTGTGCCGGAGAGGTTCGTGGCAAGTATTACATTATTGGTGGAACGGAAGGTACCTCATTTGACTTCGATGTGCACGCACTCACAATGAGAGCCAATCCAGAAGCTACAACAGAGAATGAGAAATATACATGGCATTGTGAACTGATAACGACAAATCAGGTTAGTAACCACAAAGTGCTCATAGTTCAAAAAATGTTTTGAGGGATTTCCTGGAAGGTACAGACTCGAGGCAACCTATGACGAAAAAAACCACTGCTTACTTTTCTTCGGTGGAGGAAGTAATGAGGAAGTTCATGGATTCGAGAAGGTTAGAATGCTCACCATTACCATGTTTACTTGTTCATATTCAGATAATCAAATTGGACTTAAAGACAAAGATCAGTTCGGCAGTTTCCACTATTCCAGATTCGAGGAACGGGTATCCACAAGCGCGTCGATGTCATACAATTGCCCGCAGGAGTACGAAAGTGATCATGACTGGTGGTATTTTTCATAGAGAAAATGGCCTAGATGTACGCCTAACAGATTTGCTTAGTTATTTCATAGGTTTTACAGGTTTTGGTACACTCAGATGTATGGATTTTTGAAATGACTGACTATTCTTGGGAAAAATATGAGCATTCCCTTCCGCGAGCTGTGTACTTCCATGATGCTGCAATTACGGAAGAGGGATGTATGATGGTGTTTGGCGGTGCTCATGAGCTCACTCCGACAGCACCAAGAAATAATAAACTTTATTTTGCATGGTTTGGGATCCCGCGTTTGCAGACATTCGCCCTCGAAGCTCTCCGAAAGAAATATCCTCAAGTAGGTCGTTTAATTTGTGAAAGTGATGAATGCCTACTTTAGAAGTGAATAGAATCATTGAAATTGGTTAAAATGCTCTTTTCAGATGTTCTCCGGTTTGTACTCTGGCAATTTGCAACCTAGTGGAGTATTAGACGTGTTCAATACATTTTGTAAGCCTGGGAAGATTTCTGAAGAAGAAAGGAATATTGTTCAAAGAGGACGCATTCCGTTTCATGAACACGAAGACCGTAGTCGCTTTTTTCTGAATGGAAACTCAGAAGATTATGCTGTTAGAGTAAGTTTTTTGCTTTCAAATATTCTACTTCAGTGGAAAACATACTTGTAAAATTCCGGGCTGGCCCGGGCCCGGCCTGGAAGGCCCGGTGATAAAAATTTTGTCATTTTGAGCTCTCAATACAATTTTCTTTATATTTTTTTTGTTCTTTGGATAGTTTGTCTGTTTGATCGAAAAAGATCGAAAAAACTCGAAAAAATCACACAAGGGTCCCCCCTTATGTGTTTTTTGAAATTTTCAGAACTTGTAAAATGACGGGCCCGCCGGGCCTCCGAAATTTGGGAAAAAGCCCGGCCCGGCCCGTTACAAGTATGGTGGAAAACACGAATTTTAGTTTGAAAGCTTGTGTTCATGTTTGTGTAGAACAGTTCATCTTAAAATAATAAGTTTACAGATCTTTTTGCAGCATCAAGTTGCCGATCCCGAACCTCTTCAGAGACGTCGAGGACGTGAGTGTTTCCCTATAGACTATTTCATGTGGTTACTGTAATCTTTCAGAGAGGCAACAAGGCAGGCACGAACAGATCCTCCAAAACAATGGTAATTTGAACAAAACACGAAGTATCGAAGTATTGTGGTGGTTTCAGGAGATATACGAGGACCTCTCCGTAGGATGTTCGACCAATTTCTCCGTGGTGTTGGTGCTGTTGACGAAAATAACGGAGAAGGTGAAGCTGGAGAAGAAAGAGAAGTGAACGCTCAATTACGCAGAGAAAACATTGATAACATAATAAATGAAATTAATGAAATCATCGCGGAGAGGGTAGACAGAGAAGATCCTCAATAAACGAATTGTATTTTGTTGTTGCTGTTTATTTGTAGCACCGTTACGACAAATCAAATCATATTTAATTACTTGTAATTCTGAGATTGAAACCATAAATTGTTTTGAATATTTGTGGGTTGAATAAATAGTATTCGTTAGCAATAATCCTTTGCGTAATGCAAACTCCATGCTTAATCTGAATCATTAGATTGGATTTTTCCTATGAGACAAACAACGGAACGTATTTCCTACAAGCCATTTTTGGGATTATAAAAGGGTCTTCTTGAGCGATTAGGAGGAATACTGTAGCTTTAGAAATGAGCAATAAGCAGGAAATTGACCAAATTTTGGGATCAAATGGAGAGTTGAGAGTCAGCTGAAGAGGTACTGTAGAATGCTTTAAGAATGAGCGCAATAGTTGAGTCATTTGGGTACTGTAGCTCAAAAATGAGCAATCGGGGTTGGAGAGGCCGAAAAATGGAATAAGGAGGATACTGTAGCCTTAAAGCTGAGCAATACTCGGCGGCCTAATTCTTATTTGAAACCCAAAACCGGACAGCCGGACACTAGGACCAACAGGCGACACGTCTAGCGTTTTGTATATAAAGAAGATCCGCGTTTTTGAAAAAAAATAGTTTGAAAGAAAATTTCCAAAACACATGGGATCTCGAAATCACATTATGGTCTTAGAAATTCAGATTTCTATTGGATTATTAATGACATAAAAAAGGGTTTTTGAACCGATTCTTCAGGGATGTTCGAAACGGAATTGTGAAAATTCCATGGGAATAGTGACACTCCACCGATTCCTCGGAGACAACCCCTTCCTCGGAATCGGTGGAGTCTCGAAATATTCATTTTCCGATTTTTTTCGAAGTTTTGGACTACAGTATGTCAAAGGCACACACCAAAAGTTCCCTAGTGGGTGTCGAGCGGAATTAATTTTAATTTTTTTGAAATCTCTCGTTTTGCACTTTTGTGATGGGAAAGTGGGGTTTCTACTTAAAAATTTGAATTTCGAAAAAATTCCGAAATTTCGAAACTCGGAATTTTCAAAAAAACTCCGAAAATTTTCGAAACGGCCATCCGAACATCCCTGCTATTCATGCATGCAAAAAACGTATGTTCTGTGTTAAAAAACTCATGAATAACCTCTTTAAACATTTTTGAATAATGATTACATTAACTTTAAACTATTATTTACATAAGGCTTTCAAAATCTGCCAGGACCGAGGTAAATTAACTGACTTTCAAAGACACATCGCACTGCCCCCTCTGATCTCCCATTAACGCAAAAACTGCAAGAACGCGGCCGCGTCCATGTAGATTCTAGGCCATAATTCAAACAAATTTTCTTGTTTGGCTCCCGGTACTAACCGAGAAATTATATACTTATTTTATTGATTTCCTTCAAACTGGTAATCATGTCAAATTGTTTGATGCAACTAAATCAGGTGAGCTGTCTAGAATGTACTTTTCTATATTCCACAATTTCAGTGTATATTTCCAAACTGTTCTCAGCACTTTGCAAACCAATATGATCTAACGGCGCACATCGAATATACACATATTCGTGAGTTTTCGTCAGAGTTTAGTCGATTCGTAATTTTCTGTTTTCAGCCGTTATCGAAGAGGATGTGAAAAGAAAAAAGATTTACGCAGCGAATAGTGATCAGCCGATGCCACCGCCTGCAATGAACCTTCCGTTGAGCTACTACAGTCGAGTTTTTCGTACGGCATATCGACCGAATCCCATCAAGCCTGAGCCTTTAAAACTCTCATTCAACCATTACAAGAAGAAAACTATTCCGAAGGAAAGATCTCATTCAAATCCAAATGCTACACGATATTATAGAGACATGATGGCTCGTCAAGGCAGGCACAGTAAGTTTTTTTGAAAAGCTCAATTTGTCTAATTGCCAAAAAGTGTTTCCAGTTAGCATCGAAGAAGCTGAGAAACGTTTGTGTGATATCGACTTCGAAGAGTGCGGTGCAGAGTAAGTATACATTTTTAAATGTAGGAAGATTCCTCATAATAAACATTCCAGCAATCCAGAAGTAAGATGGCAATGTGCAATAGTCGATTGTAACAAGAGATACAAAAGCATGTTCGCATTGCGCGTTCACATGAAAATATGCCACAACGTTGTGGTGTCCGAAGAGGCGAAAAGTTTGACCAGTTACCCTTCGGAAGACGTCAAACCGAATCTTGCGGCCCTCCAACAAGCTATGCAACAGTCATCCCAGATGAATCCCGATAGAACCATGTCATCAGGAACACCAACGTCTACAAGCACTTCAAACACTCCAGTCGTCCAAGGTTCTCCTCATCCCGGAGGTCCGAGCTTCGGAAATCCAGCAACAAACACAACATCGTTCAAGTGTTCGTATTGCTCCAAACGCTATAAAACATCTTCTGGACTATCCAACCACATGATGTCGTCACATCAGAAAAGTATGATGATTGTTGAAAACTCTAGCAAAATCTACATTTTCAGTCTCTGAAGCACAAGATGTCCCATCACAACTTGTAGTGGAACAACTGATTTCTCAAGTTCGTATGCAACGGAATCAAGAAGGCAGTAGCTCAGGTGGTCAGAGCCCACAGAAGCATGTTTCATCACCATCATCACATTTTCAAAGTGTCGCAAACGTAAGAAAAATGCATATGAATTGGTATAACTGTTACCAGTTTCTTAAGGGTTCTTCGCATGCTCGTAATTTTTCTGTAACAACTACACAACAACCGATTCGATTCTCTCAACCAGGATTCCCATTGAATTTGGATAATCAACCATCGACAGGGCAGGTATTGCAAATGCAGATGCAACATGAAAAAAGAGTAAGAAACTTGAAGGGATAATGTTTATTGAATCTAAAATTTATAATTTACAGCAGAAACAAATTCAAGAAATGAAGAAAATGCAAGAATTACAAGCTTCTCAAGCGTTGGCTTCTTCTCAACAGCAACATTCACAACAAGGACAGCAAGGCCAACATTTTCCATCACATGCTGGTCAAACAGGACAAAACTCTGGGCAAAGTTCCTCGAATCAACATCCACAAATGGGGCAATTCCAACAGCAACCACAGCAGCAATCACAACTGCAGCATCAACATCAACAGCAGCAACAACACAATCAACAGCAACAACAACATCAGCAACATCAGCAGCAGCAACAACAACAGTACCATCAAGTGCCTTCTCAACACCATCAACAGCAGAGTCCGTATCCCCAACATGTGAACCAGATGGCTCAACATAGTCCGCATGCATATCAACAACATCAACAGTCTCCTCAGCTTTCACAATATTCGCAAGCATCGCAGTCACCACAGCAGCAGCATGCGAATGGGTCAGCACCCCCACCACAACGTTCTCCGATCCCTTTATCACAACCACTTCCACCACTAAGCTCGATGACTCAACAACAACGGATGCCAGTTCAACAAATGCCATCCTCAAATGTGAGGAACATAAATAGTAAATGTGAATCATAAATTATGTCTTTTCAGTCAGGACCAATGCAATTCTCGTCCCCCGACTCGCAAGGTTACCATAATATGATGCCAAGTCCTTTGAATGGGCAACTGACGCCTTCTCAGCAACCGCCTCCGTACAATCCCTGAAAGTATATAAATTGATTTCTATTACCCTACTTTTTCTTCAGAGCTGTTTCAAACGAAGTTACAAACAAACAGAAAGAGACGCAAGTTCATTCATTTATTATAAGAATGATGATGATTCCTATATCCAAATAATATATATTTTTTAACCTGAATAAATTAGTTGTATATTTTTATTGTTTATGTTGATCTTAACTTGATCCTGGATGGTTCGATACCATAGAGCATACTTCAACGAATTGCGTTTCGACCTTTTTGCTTCTGAAAAATCACTGATTACAGATAATGGAGGAAAGTAGCGACAATTCTGACGCTCTAAGCTTCACCCCGCTGTTGGTTTTGTATCAGAAGTCTGAAAACAATAAAGAATTCTTTGCAGAGGTTCTGGACAAGAAGTCGGAAGATCATGTCACTTGCTGGAGTACAAAGGAAAACGGGTTATGCTTGATTGCGGAGTTCATCCAGGACTTCATGGTGTGGACGCTCTCCCATTCGTCGACTTTGTGGAAATCGAAAACATCGACCTTCTACTTATCACCCATTTCCATTTGGACCATTGTGGTGCCCTACCGTGGCTTCTGCAGAAAACTGCGTTCCGTGGAAAATGCTTTATGACGCATGCAACAAAAGCCATCTATAGAATGCTTCTAGGAGATTATGTTAGAATTTCTAAATATGGCGGGGCAGATCGTAATCAGTTGTACACAGAAGATGATCTAGAGAAAAGCATGGCTAAAATCGAGACGATTGACTTCCGGGAGCAGAAAGAAGTGAACGGAATTCGATTCTGGCCTTACGTAGCTGGTCATGTTCTTGGTGCATGTCAATTCATGATCGAAATTGCTGGAGTACGAGTACTGTATACCGGAGATTTTTCGTGTCTGGAAGATCGGCATTTGTGTGCTGCTGAGATTCCACCAGTTTCGCCTCAAGTTTTAATCACAGTACGTTCTTATAGACAAATTCTCAAAGTTTACACTTTTTTTAAAAATAGGAATCAACATATGGAACACAAACACATGAGGATCGATCTGTCCGAGAAAAACGGTTCACTCAAATGGTGCATGATATCGTCACAAGAGGTGGCAGATGCTTGATTCCAGCTTTTGCTATAGGACCTGCTCAAGAGCTCATGCTCATACTAGACGAATATTGGGAAGCACATCAAGAACTTCATGATATCCCTGTCTACTGTAAGAAGCCGTCCTGAAAACATCAGCTTACAATTCGAAAATCATTTTCAGATGCATCATCCCTTGCGAAAAAGTGCATGTCCGTTTATCAGACATTTGTGAATGGAATGAATTCGAGAATTCAAAAGCAGATTGCTATAAAGAATCCATTCATTTTCAAGCATGTATCAACACTTCGGGGAATGGATCAGTTTGAAGATGCTGGACCATGTGTTGTATTGGCGACACCTGGAATGTTGCAGAGTGGATTCAGCAGAGAACTGTTTGAGAATTGGTGTTCTGATTCGAAGAATGGATGTATCATTGCTGGATATTGTGTGGAAGGAACACTAGCTAAGGTTTCTTTTTTGGAAGAGAAGAAAGGATTTTAATATTGATTTCAATTTCAGCATATCTTGACTGAACCCGAAGAAATTGTTTCTTTGAGTGGAGAAAAGCTTCCAATGAGAATGCAAGTTGGATATGTTTCGTTTTCTGCGCACACCGATTTCAATCAAACTTCGAATTTTGTAAAAACGCTGAAACCTCCTCATTTGGTTCTGGTGCATGGAGAGCTTCATGAGATGAGCCGTCTCAAAGCAGGAATCGAACGATTGTTCCAAGACATAAATATTCCAATCGAGGTTTGTTCGAAAGAATGCTAGGTCGATATCATAATTTGTTTCAGGTACATAATCCTCGCAACACTGAACGATTGGAACTCCAGTTCAGAGGTGAAAAAACAGCCAAAGTGATTGGAAAGCTCGCAGAGAGAATGCCAGAGAACAATAAGATTATCAGTGGAGTACTTGTGAAAAACAACTTTTCCTATTCCTTGATGGCTAAAGATGAACTTGGATCCTATACTTCTCTCCGTACTTCAAGTTTGGAACAAAAAATGTCGGTTCATTATTCCAACTCATTACGATTACTCATCTTCAACTTGAATCAACTGAATGATGATGCTACTTTGACACAAAACGTAAAAGTTAAAGAAATGCTGAAGAAGGGGAGTGTGACTCATGTGATTAGCGTTTTCGGAGTAAGTTTATGTCTCGTTTCAATAGCTATTAATTGTTTATTCTTTCAGGGAAAAGTTATAGTATCATATTACGGTAATGATTCCGTGGCTGTAGTCAGATGGGAGTCCAATCCAGTATCAGACATGTATTCGGACTCTGTTATGGCTGCAATTTTGCACGCACAATCCAACCCAGTTCCTGATAAATGTGAGTTTGGTTGTTGATTGGGTTTTGATAAAAACAATTTTATGTTCAGATTTGCCATCAAGTTCATCGTTCCCACCTCTTACCACTGCATTAGAAGGAATGGTGAAGCATGTGAGTTTTTTTACATACAAACTTTATTTAATGTAAACAGCTGGCTGGTGCGCTTTCGGCGCGATTTGACCTATTTTTCAATTTGTTCGTCGCTTCGCGACTCTATATTTTCAAAAGGTCACGCCAAATAATATTAAATTTTCAAGCTTTAAAAATTGTTCGGACAGACCGACAGACAGATAAATAAAGAGACGCAACTTCATTTATTTATTACCAGCCTGTTTGCCGCGCCTTCGGCGCGATTTGACCTTTTCCTTGATTTTTTCGTCGCTTCGCTCTTTTTTAAATGTCACGCCAATTTGAATTTAATTTTCAAGCTTTTAAAAAAGCGGACAGATCCACAGAGAGATGGAGAGAGAGAAATAAAGAGACGCAACTTCATTTATTTATTATAAGAATGATGATAAGAGTGATTATTGCAAACAATTTTTAGATTTGTGGAGATGAAGTTTCTTTGGTTTCAAGTGAACGCGGACTATTGGCATGTTTCGAAGAAGATGGTAGACGTCTACCCATTGAAGGAAACCCGGACGGCCCTCCAACCATGGGTGGTGATGATCCGATGGACGATCCAACTACCTCCCATCTGCTACAAGGACTGACAGAAAAATTTAAACAGGTAAATAACTGAATATTCAAAGCTCTACAATACATTCATTTTCCAGATTGTGACCACAAACAATGAATTCGATCACCTAGATGATATGGAGTATTAGAGAAGTGTCAGCCGTTTCTTCAGCCTGTGTGATCTCAAATTACAATGTATCTTCTTTCTACTTTTGTTTATGTTCAGAAAAGAAGAGCTCACTAATTTATTTTTTTATTCTATTGAGTCGGTTTTCTTCTACTATTTTGCCTATTTTTGTTCCCCGTTGTCTTCTGTCGTTTTTTCTTTGTTCCAATAAATTCATAAGAACTCTATTCTGATTTTTCTGATGAGAAAGCGTGTTCATCGCAAGACTACATGCTCCTCGAGAAGAAAGAATTCAGATGGCCAAAACACGTATAGTTAGTCGGTTTCTCTTCTATTTTTTTTTCTTCGCATTCCTCACAGGGGCTTTTCCCCCGTCGTTTCCTCTTCTTTTTCTTCTTCGTCAATATATTCCTATCTCTGCATCTCTTGTTTTCCCTTGAACACTCTCCACTTCTAGTCTTATTTTTGTTTCCATCCCGCGCACTGGGAGACTCGTTATTCTATTCGCACCACCACCACTGAGGTTGTTTTCTATAGTCTATCGTTTTTTTTTGTTCTATGTCTGTGACCTTTTTCTTTCCTTCTTCCATCTCTCTTCTCTTGAAAACTTTGAATTCGAGAGTATTTGTTGAAGATGTCAGTCCGAGGCATTCGGATATGGCGGCGGAATGATGCACGATTCCAGCCGTCGATCCTTGTCGAGAAGAATGGACTTGACGGATCACTTCTGTTTCAAGGTGGAGCTGTTGCCACCCTAGGTGAGTAGATATGAGCTGTTCGATGTTTTCAATACTATGGATTTTGAAATACAGTACTCTTTGAATAAATATTTACCTATTCAATAATTGAATTTTTGTTCAGATTCTGATTCAACGGAAGTCGAACGAAGGTCTTATCAGAAAATTGTGGATGCATATGGTCTCTTGGGAGTATTAGCCATCACAAAGGATGAATCCGTTTTAGTAGCAGTAACTGGAGTACTTTCAGTTGGACAACTTTATGGAGCCGATATTCTGAAAATAACAAATGTCGAATTCATATCATTACGAACTTTCGGTTCTGTAGAAAATGTAGATTCTAGGATAGTCGATGTAAGTTTTTCCTTTTTGCTCAATTAAACATAACATGTTTTTTCAGCTTCAACGGTTACTCTCTTCACAAATGTTTTATTTCTCTTCACTTCAATCCTATGATCTCACTCGGTCGGCTCAACATCGTGATTCACATGATGGAAGTGATGCACGATTCTTCTGGAATAGAAGTCTTCACTTTTCATTTCAACGTTACGGAATAGACACGGACAATTGGCTACTGAAATGCATGGCTGGGTAGAGAACTTTCGATGTGTTTTTTTTGAATCTAAAGTTATTTTCAGATCAGTACTAGTCCGAGTAGTTTATGTTGGTGCAAATACAGGTCGTGTAGCTCTAATTTCTCGATTGAGTTGCGAAAGAGTCGGCACTCGATTCAACGTACGAGGCGCTAATTATCTTGGAAATGTGGCCAATTTCGTGGAGACGGAGCAACTTCTTCTTTTTGACGATAAAGAGTGCTCACTTCTTCAAATTCGTGGATCTATCCCGCTTTTCTGGGAACAACCGGGAGTCAATGTAGGATCTCATAAAGTTAAGCTGAGAGCATTCGAGACAAGCCTTCCGGCTTATCATAGGTAAAAAAAATAATGAAATAAAAGATTCACTTATATTAAGGTTTGTTTTAGGCACATGTCCCAACTTCAACATCGATATGGAGAATTTGCGATTGTGAATTTGTTGGGAAGAAAAGAAGGAGAACGAGTTCTCAGTGACGCTTTCAAGACACAACACAAGAATTCACACTTTGCGCCAATCGTTGATTTCATTGACTTTGATTATCATGCTCAAATGAAAATATCAAAAGAGGCAATTGTCCAGCTGAAGAAGAAGATGACTCCTCATATGTCTCAGCACGGATTCTACTATTCCATGGATCATAAACTCGTCAAACGACAAACGGGAGTATTTCGAACCAATTGTCTGGATTGCCTAGATCGAACCAATGCAGTTCAAACAGCCGTTGGCCTTCAGATGTCTCATGATCAAGTGGCGTTCCTGAATTTAAACGCTGGAAAAGTGAATGTCGAACAACGTGTTGAAGAGATTCTCAAAGATTTGTGGCAGAAAAATGGAGATCAATGCAGTACAATATACGCAGGAACAGGCGCATTAGATGGGAAAAGTAAGCTGAAAGATGCTTCGAGATCATTGGCAAGAACGATTCAAAACAATTTGATGGACGGTGCAAAGCAAGAATCGTTTGACCTGTTCTTAACAGGAGCAGCGTATGATCCTCGTCTTTTTGATAGAGCATGCAATATTCTGCCACCGAGTTTGATTCAAGGTTTGTAGTTAATGTTTTTATCGTTTTTATTGTTCTTGTCAATCAACCACTTCATCTCTTTTCTATTCTATAAATCTTTTAGAGAGCTATTACTATCATGGTAAGCTTTGAACGTTGTGATTAGTGGAATTGAAATCTAGAGTGTGTTGTCCGTTTTGTGTTGAGCTCTTTTTATTTCCTTTTCTGGGGTCTTTATGCTTTTAGATGTTGTTCTCTTGATAACAATTTATATTTCAGAATATGCTGACGCAGTATCACAGCTAGTTGAGCGAAGTCCGGAAATCGCTGAACCTCAACATATAAAAATTTTCGTTGGAACGTGGAATGTAAATGGAGGAAAAAACATTCACAATGTAGCGTTCCGAAACGAATCCAGCCTGTCCCATTGGATTTTCTCCAATTCAATGACTCGATTGGTGTCTGTGGAAGAAGAACAACTGGCAGACATTGTGGCTATTGGAGTTGAGGAACTTGTTGATTTGAATGCAAGTAATATGGTGAAAGCAAGCACCACAAATCAGAGAATGTGGTGTGAAAGTATTCGGAAGACGTTGGCTGAGAAGGCTCCATTTGTTTTGATTGGATCTGAACAACTAGTTGGAGTCTGCCTATTTTTATTCGCTCGACCAAAAATCTCCCCGTATTTGAAAGACTTTGCTGTGTCTTCTGTAAAGACTGGTATGGGCGGAGCGACTGGAAACAAGGGATCGGTTGCATTTCGAATAGTTGTATTCTCCACTTCGATTTGTTTCATTTGCTCTCATTTCGCAGCTGGACAAAATGAAGTGAAAGACAGAAATGAGGATTTTGCGACTACTTTGAAGAAAATTCGATTCCCATTAGGGAGAGAAATTGATTCACACGATGTTATATTTTGGTTTGGAGACTTCAATTATCGTATCAGTTTGTCGGGAGAAGAAGTGAAAACAGCGGTTAGAAATGGAGATTTTTCTAAACTTGTTGAGCACGACCAACTGACAAACGAGAAAATAAAGGGACAGGTGAAAACTTACTCTAAAACCCTTGAAATGTCGTATCTACTGTTTTTCTTTTAGACATTTATTGGATTCAATGAAGGACAGCTAACGTTTGCACCAACCTACAAATACGATACATTCAGTGATGATTACGATACAAGTGAAAAGTGTCGTGCTCCTGCTTGGACTGATCGAGTTCTTTGGAAAGATCAGAGAAAGAAAGGAAAAACGACTTTGCTGAGTTATGACCGATCTGAATTGAAAACATCAGATCATCGACCAGTGGGAGCTGTCTTCAAAGTGGAAACCTATAAAGTGGATGGAAAGAAATGTATAGAACTTATCGAAGATGTTGTTGAGTAAGTTGGGTCTCATCAAGATGTTATGAAAAATTCCTCAATTCCAGATCCATGGGTCCCCCGGACGGCACGATTGTGGTTAACATTGTTGGAAAGCCACGATTCCCACCGCAGATGTTCCCACCGATTCATGAAAAACTGAAAGAGCTTGGAGCGATGGTTCAGTTGAGCAAATTTGATAATGGAGACTTATGGATTGTTTTGAATAGTGGAGAAATGGCATTGGCTGCGTTGAGCATGGATGGATTGAAATTGGGATCAGATCAACTTCAAGTAAAATTGAAATCGCCTGATTGGGCATATGCTCTAAAACCGCATCTCTCTGATTTCGATCTGGAGTCTTTTGAAGTTTCACCTGAAGAAGAGACTCTGATTAATGGTGCCGATGGTGCAGTCTTTGAGTTTGCTGGTATGTTTTTTCATCGATTTCAACGTAACCTGTAATCATTTTTAGATGAAGACGAGGATTCGATCAGCGTTATGAGTTTGACTCTGACTGGATCTGCTCCCGATCGACCACGACCTCCATCAGCACGTAGCGAAGCAATCAATATGGCGAATCTGGAATGGCCATCTGAAAGACAAGACGTCCTTTCCACTTCAATGCCCACTCGTGCTTCTTCAGCTTCTCTTGCCAACAGCTCTTGGTATGAGCATGTACCACCACTTGCTCCACCGACTACTCATCCAACACAGCAATCAAACAACAATAAAAGCCCTCCACAGCAATCGTGTCTCTTCAACCCATTCACCCAATCTGTTCCTTCTCCAGCAGCTCCTCCACCACCTACCATTCCAACACGAGGAGCTTCTGTTGGACCTGGTCCACCAGCTGTTCCCCTTAGAAAAGCACCCCCACCACCACCTCGCCCTGTAATTCCACCCAGACCCAAAAATATGTAGATTATTCTTGTTTTTATTTATTTTTAGTTTAGGATTTTTGTGCATACATTCCATTCTTGTAGCAATCACATTTTTTTCAGGTTTTGTGAAATGTAAACTAAAACTTATTTTTAATGCATTTGTGTCTCACTTAGGAAGAATTTCTCATTTCCCACCCACTCACTAAGAATCTAGTCAAGCTTTTGTTCCCATTGTTTTCCTGATTCGATTTGCCATTCTTCATCCTTTCAGTCAGTAAATTATTTTGCCCGAAAACAAAATGTTTAAAAAGGAACACTTTATTCTTGCTAGTATATTTGAGAGCTTCGATTCTTAACATCGATCCAAAATTTGGCGAGGCTCACAAAAAATGAAGAGAGTGCATTGATGCACATTGACGGATTCAAATCATAGTATGCTTTGAAAACAATATTTCGAAAAACGAAATTTGTGATCACAAACTGCCATGAATTCTTTGTATTCAAAGAAGCAGCGATCAATGAAAGATCGAATTGAATTATGACTTGACAGAATAAAAAAAGAGATAGTGAGAAAAGAAAAACATATGTGAAAAGAACTGGATAGAAGTTTGGAAGTTGCCAGAGATGAATATAAAGGTAGAGACGGTGAATATCGTGCTGAAAAATGATAATGTTTGAATATATAGCCAACTTGGAGGTTTTCAAATATATTTCGGGTTTACTTTTTAGCTTAAAACTCGGCTTAAAATTCAGAAAACTCCGATTGAGTAATTTCCGAATTTTTTATCGGAGTTAGAAGTTTTCGGATTTCGGTATTTACCGTAAAATATGTATTAGAAGGGCCCCTCAACTCTCAACTTTGAACCAATTTAACTCGGTTCCTATGAGAGATGTCAAAAAATTGTCAACTGATAAATTGTTTATCATAATGTTACAAATGTTTTATTAATTGAGGCATTTTTGATATCTTTTATACAAACCGAGATAATTGAGCTGAAACTTGACAGTGTGGGAGGCCCTTCTATTGCAGGTTTTACGGTATTTATTATAGGAATGACGATGATGATAGCCAACGGAGATTTTGAAAAGATTTTTCAGTTTTTCCGTTCAGTCTAAAATTCTGGTATGTTCGGAATTATGCAAATTCCTCTTAAAAAAGCTGATTTTCGATATTAAAAAATTTTCGGGTTACGGTATTTATTTATGTCATTTTTTGAATTTGTTTGTGTTGAGAAAGTGGAATTTCTACTTTAAAACTTGAATGTTTCAAAAATCCCGAAGATTCCGATCTCCGAAACTTCGGAACATTCCAAATTCAGAATATTCCAAAATTTTGAAAATCAGAAAATTTCGAAATTCCGAAATTTTTGAAGTCAGAATATTCCGATATTCCAAAATTTTTGGAATCGGGATATTCCGAAATTCCGCAAATCGCAGAATCAGATTATTCCGAGAAATTCCGAAATTTAAAAAAACAGAGTATTCCAAAAATTTAGAAATCAGTATTCCGAAATTTCGAAATGTTGAAAATCAGAATGGTCCGAAATTCCTAAACTTTCTAAAATCGAAATATTTCAAAACCAGAATCTTCCGAAAGTTTTAAATTTTCAAAATCAGAATGTTCCGAAGTTCCGAAATTTGCAAATTTAGAATGTTTCAAAATCTAATTCCCAAATTCCGAAATCTTGGGAACCAGAATATTCCGAAATTCCTAAAATTTCAAAATTGGAATATTCCGAAACTTTGAAATTTTGAAAATTGAAATATTCTAGAATTCCTAAATTTCAAAACATAATATTCCGAAATTCCTAAAATTTCGAAATCAGAATCCATAGTCCGAAATTCTGAAATTCCTTAAACTTCAAAATCAGAATATTTCGAGATTCTGAAATTCCAAAAATTTCGAAACCTGAATATTCAAAAAACGCGAAAATTAAAAACCCTTTTTTCAATATCCCAACGTTTCCTATTTTTCACTGAACAATATCTTTTGGTCGGGTACTGTTTCACTTTACACACTTACTTGATAAAGCTCAAAAGCAAATAAAATTACGGTAAGAAAGCAGAAATGAGAGAATAGAATTGAAATGTTGAGTTTCTGAAAACATCAAAAAGTTAAATTACGATTTTCTGGAAATTTCAAACCTTTTCAGATATCTTCTTAAACTGAACAATGTAGCAATGTTGAAGACTAGTATCACAAAACCAAAAAACATTCCATCAGATGTTAACTCAGTTACATTCACTGTAAAATAGAGGTTTCTTCTGATAGAAAAAATGTTGCTTGCCTGTCATATAAGTGAAAATAGTAGAAAAACATGATAGAATCAACGGCAGTTTCTTTCCGAATTTCGGTCGTTGATTGATTGTTGATCTGAACATGATTATCGCAATTGCAGGAGCTGCTAGATATTCGATTAGTTTGGAACATCCTGTTTCCTGCAAACTAACGGATGAAACCTTAAAATAATATGATACTACTAGCCAGGTAATATGCGTAGAGATCCAAAAATAAGGAAGCAGTAAAAAACATTGAGGCAGGAAGAGCTTTGAGATCAACCACATTGTTCCATGATTTGCATAAATCCGGAAACAATAACTTTGTGACTTGCATGAATGCCAAACAAGCCATCGATTGGCAGAGGATTATAATACATGGAAACTCAAAATTTGTGGCCACCAAAACCATTCGATACATGACTCCAGAGACTAGAGTAGTGACAAACCAACCAGCGATACTACAAAATCGAAAACAATTGTTTAAAAAGATTTGAAAGCACTTACAGAAGAAATTGTGATACGATCCCGGCATTTTTGGGTTTTTTCATCGAACGCTGGATCTGATAATTATCTGAATCAACAGTAAATTATCTATTAAAACGCCACAAAAACTTGTTATAGAAGGGCACCCAAACAGTCAAGTTTGAATCCTATTTTGTCCGTTCCTATAAAGTTATCAAGAGTGGGCCAACTGACAAAACTTTTCTGATATTATCATACACAACTCAGCCTGTACTTTAATCCCAATTATCTCGATTTCTAGAAGAATTCTCAAAACCCACAAATCGCAACAATGTTAATGATATTATAAGAAAGATTTTATCAGTTGACAGACTATTGATATCTCTTATACATTGGAACCAAAATAACGAAGTGAAGTTTTTCAAAGAAATATTTTACCAGGTTACCAACCAATTATTTTTGAAAACAAAGAAAACAAAGCAATGGAATATTTATTAATCAGAACCTGAAAAACAGTTATTATTTAGGCCTTTGTCATCCATGGTCCTTTAACGATTTCCGGTTCAGTATCGCGAGTGATTAGAGCTCTCGCTGCTACAAGAGTGATTGCAAGGAATGCCCTGGAACAGTGTTTTGAGATTAATAAATCTACAAGACTTTTATACCAGTTCAAGACTCCTGGATAGACATCGTAGAATAGATAAATCGACAGATAGTAAGCAAAGAATGTCTCCAAAACTGCGCGAATATTCGAGACAATTTGCATATTCAACGATCCATTTTTCTCGAGACAGGAGAAAGCAGTGAAATGGAAAAGGACTCCAGAAAGCATTGAGATCGCTGAAAATAAAAAATGGAAATATTCTGAATTGAAGAAAAAAGAATACCAAAAACAATGATGAAAAGTGGGTGGGCGGAGGTTATCATGTACATGAAGGCGTCACGAAGCTCATCCTGAAAGTAAAGGAAAAGATAAAAGATAAAAATTCGTTGGATAAACATACTCTGACCATATCAGCAAGAAGATAGAAAACGAGAGAATTGAACGAATGCATGTAAAGAACCTCTGTGTACTGTAAGAATATATGACTTAATTGAATCCAGATACCGTAAACACCCCAATGGTAGACTACTTTGAGCTCATATATCTCAAATTCTGTAAAAGATATAAAAAAGTTGTCAACTGATAAATTGTTCATCATAAAATCAGAAATATTTTGTCAGTTGACATGTTTTTGAAATCTTTCAAAATAATTGAGATAATTGAGCTGAAACTTGACGGTGTGGGGGTTCTTCTATTACAGGTTTTACTGTAATTATAAAGCTTCTAATAAAGGATTTCTGAGATTCCCAGAATCCTCTATGACTTTCATACTTGAAAAAAAAATTAGTTTTTTCCAAGTGTTCTATTTTTCAGAAGCCTTGGTCCGTCAGCCACCAGTCATTGACCAGCCTGCGCCCTTCGACTGTCATTAAGCAGCCGTTCAATAACCTATATTTTGAAATGATCCTATGTGAGGAAAATCAGCTTTTATTATCATTCTATAATCTACTGGGAGTATGAAAATTTGTTTTCTAAGCCTTCAATTCGGTTTTCCAAGGGATCCGTACAGTCCGTCGACGGACTTTCTTCGGCTGCCAACTAGCATTCATTCACCAGTTTGCACCCCTTCAGCTGCCATTTAACAGTTTTTCAGCAGCTACACTCTACCTGTTATAATTTAAACCTTTCTCCTGACTTACATTATAAGTTTGAAGATGTTCCTCGAATAGAATAAGAGCAGTTGCTTGCAGAACTGCTCCAACCATTCCATACATCAAAGAATATCTGTCGACAGAAAAATCCAGATTCACTGAAAGTTTAATCTTATTTTTTTTGCTTCGACATCATGAATCTTACCGGCGAATGCCGAGGCAATCGACAATCCGATGATAATAAATGTTCTGTTTTGATCAACCTTTTGTTGTCTGCTTCGAGCAGCCAATCCAATCAGAATCAGAATTGGAGTGAATCTTTTAACAGAATCAAAGTTTGGCATTGCTATACCTTCAAATGAAGCTACAGTAATCCACTGTGAGATTGTATACAGAATTGAAGGAATCACAATGTGACGTCCCTTTTCAAAACAATATGGAGCAACTTTAAGAATACCGAGGACCCTGAAGAATACGAAATGGACGCTATTCCATAAATTCTTCAATTACCTGGCAACTTCAATGAAGAATAGAGTAGCAGCAGATTGCATCATTAGGATAACAACTGGATAATCAAAAAAGTATCTAGTGACCATGATTTTTGCCATCAGTGAGCAGAATACGGTAGCAATCACAAAGGTGATCATGCTGAAAATTTTTCATTGCTTGGAAATGTTAAAAGTTTTGATAAATTTCGAATTCTGTGATTTCGCTCATTCTTTAAAAAGTAACTCGATACTTCTGTACAAGTAATACTAACCAACAAAACAAGAAATCAAGTTTTCTGAATATCCGAGAGTATAACAATTTGTGTGCTCACCTCCTTCCAGCAGCAGTTTTGATCACCCTCATCTTTTTGTGTTAATGTGTGATCGGAAAGGAAACAAAAATTCGTGGAAAATGAGACGAGAGTGAATTGAAAACGAACAAAAAGGAAAACTGGGGTTCTAAAGGAAGCGCCATTCCTCTCCCTGTCTCTTTCTCCGGTTTTTATCGGAGCCCTTCATCTACATTTCGTATCCGCGAATAAGATTAAATCGGACTTTTAGTGGAAAACTGAAGAGAAGAGAAACAAAACTTATTGATTGTGTCTGGTTTTTTTCGTTTGGAAAAATTAGGACTAGTAAAAGTTTTTCGGTTGAAAAGATCGGAGGTTTAAAGTGGAGATCAGAAAGATCAGCAATCGGAACATGTCTACTACTTCCAATGAGGAAGTTTTGACAAATCTGATCTCTGGATGGATATGATTTTTAAGCTATGATTCTTCTTGGTTATTTGTGAACTTGTAAAATAAAATACTGAAAAACTGGGCTGAATTCAAATATAGCCCTCACCCCAATTCAAGTATAGCCCCCCAAAATGAACCATAGTAGAGCCCCCCACCTCCAACAATCTAGACACTTGCCGCAGTTCAAAAAAAGCCCCCCCCCCCCCCCCAATTCAAATATAGACCCCCACTTTTAAATGGTCCATTCCAATTCAAATTAAGCCCCCCACCCATTCAATTATTCTAATCAGAACTTCCAAAATTTTGTTTTTCCTTCCTATTTTTGAATGCTTGGGGACCTTTAATTGAAGAAGGCAGGGAGGGGTGGGGTCATATTTTAAGAATACCGGGTTCTTCAAGTATAGGCCCCCACTTTGTACTGGTGGGGGGTCATACTTTAATCAACCAGTTCAACTTCAGCCCCCCCCACACATTTTTGTACTGGTGGGGGGCTCTACTATAGTTGTTTATAAGGTGGGGGGGGGGGGCTATATTTGAATTATACCAAAAACTGTTCGAACATTTTGTTATGGAGATCCCTGGAGCTTTTCAAAAAGTTAAGCATGTGAATTGCTTTCCAACAACACAAACTGGAATACTTTCAGTGACACAGAAACGGCTCGCCGATAAGCTTGCAAACGGCGGCTGAAGATCTAAGAATTGCGTCTTTAAACAGGTATAGACATTTTTGGGCCAAATTATGAACGGCAATCATTAAAAACCTAACCATGGCCGCTGTTTGTACGCTGTTTGGCAACCTTGCCTTACATGTGGAGGCAACTTCTACCTTTCAGCCAATTTATCTCGGTTTTTGTAAAAGATATGAAAAATTTGTATCCGTAAAAATTGTTTATCATAACTTCAGAAGTGTTTTGCTTGTTGACACATTTTTTATATCTCACCGAAATAAATTGGCTCCAATTCGGCGATGTGGGTGACCTTTTATTACAGGTTTAATTGTAACTTTGCATCAGGAATTCGGGTTTTCCGGTATAAAACAGGGCTTAAAACATAACAGAGAAAATATCAATTTGATAAGTTATCAATTATCGACAACGAGTTTTAAAAAAGGAAGATGTTCACTTTAGTTCATTTTTTAAAGTTTTGAAGTTAACAGCCCACAAGTCTCTCAGATCCGGTAACTTTCATTTTTTTACTAGTTTACATTACCAAGCACAAAACTATCAATTAAAACTTTTTTCGAGAATATTAGACAAGTCCAGCGGTTTTTAAAACTAAGGTAAGACTGCGGTTGCCGAAAAGCGGACAAACGGCGGCTGAAGATTTAATAGTTGTTTCGTTAAAGGGGGCGTCCACTAATTCCAAAATTTTTGAGATTTTCATATCAATCGATCCAGAATTTTGGGTCAGGAAGAAAACTCTCTTGGAGGATAGTCCGAAAATCACTCGTTCTTAAGATATATGTCGAAAACATGTTAGAAAAACAACGTAGAGGGTGCAGATTAGGGAGCTAGACAAGAGGCAGAATCCTTGAGGGTGTACGCAAAGAAATGAATAAAGACGTGAATTACTTTCCCTATTATTATTCCTAATCTGCAAACTCTACGTTGATTTTGTTGACATGTTTTCGACATATATCTTAAAACGAGTGATTTTCGGTCTATCCTCCAAGAGAGTTTTCTTCCCGACCCAAAATTCTGGATCGATTGATATAAAAATCTCAAAAATTTTGGAATTAGTGGACGCCCCCTTTAAGCAAATTTGGAAAAATTGTGGCAAAAATATATAAGGTTTTTCTTATTTTATCAAAAATCATTGTTCTTTAATTATGATTCGATAACTACTGATTGCCATTCATACTTTCTTTATCACAAATGTTCCCCAATTGCTTACAGAGTTTTTCAATTCACATTTTTCTCGTCTTTTTGCTTTTTTATACTGGATTGTAAAAGAGAAAAAGAGGTTTTTATTAGAAAAAAGAAAAAACTTTGAACATTAATTGAAATTTATTTTGGAAGAATTTCTCTTTCCTCCTCGGCAAAAATGGTTTCCAAATTGAGAGTTCCGATGTCAAACGTCTTCTTTGGAATCTTTCCACTTGTGATATAAGACTTTGGAAGCTTGAAACGAATCTTTCTGAGTCCTGGCTGTAATTCAAAAAACATTGATTACTGTAGGATGTAATGGACCAACCTTCAATTTACTATCGTCACAAGCATGATAAACTTTGAAAACTGGGTCGATATCAGTCAATTCAGCAGTTCCTCCCTTCAAATTGAACTCTCCGTTTCCGTCGGTGTATCCTTGTTCAAGAAGGTCATCTGGATCTGGTCCAGAATCCTCTTCCCATAGTTTCACTCGTACTTGAGATGCTGGTTTTGGTCCACATACAAGTTTTCCTTTGACAGCAATCGATTGATCTCTCATTGCGGCAACAAGTCCAATGAGGATAACAAGAAGTATGAACGTTTTCATGACGACGACCTGAAAATTCAAAGAGTTAGAAATCAGGGAAATAGGAATAATGAAAGAAGAGCTAGGACATGGAAATGTTGTGATTGAAAGAAAAAAGAAAATGAAATGTTGTTGACAGTTGTCGCTTGATGTGTTTGTTATCTGAAAGAAGAAAACAAAAAATCTTTTCGTAGAGTGTCGGACAACAACTGATAAAAACCAAGTGTCTTTTCTGATTGGCTCTTGATTGACATCTCGAAGACAGAAGTGGAGTTCAGAAGTTTAGAATGACACGGACACTCAACACGGAACTAAACGAGCCAGAAATCAGCCGGATTCACAAATACAGGTTGCCGAAAAGCTTACATACGGCGGCTGAAGGCCTAAGAATTGCCTATAACTTACGTCTTTAAGCTGGTGGGGAAAGTTTCGGCACATAATTCGAAGGGTACCAAAAGTTTGGGGTTATTGGGGTACAAAATAGCTTTAAAAAGGCGGATTTAGCACCCCCGAACTGTGGGTTTCTTACCCTTAAATCGCTTTGTACCCCGTTGTACCCCCGAACTTTTTCGATTTTCCTCCTATTGCTAGAAACGAAAATTATAGCCAATTATTAAAGCATCCCCCACTTTATGTGAAATATAGAAAACGATAATTTATAGAAAACGATAATGTCGAAATTCAACTTTCTTATTATTTCAAAACCAAATCGTTTTGTGGTCATCAATCACTGAATTCAATAAACCCAAAAGATCAACTAGAAAACACGAGAATATGTTCCGGTTGAGTGTTTCGTTTTGGATACGCTCAATTAGATTTGTGCAAGGTGTAAAATATAAATAGACATGTTTAAAGTATGAAAACCCAAAACATATTGTGGTTAAACACACTACTGTAAACACTCCAAAAGTGTACCTCCCTGTCAACTTTGAGCTCATATATCTAGATTACTTCAAAAGATATAGAAAAACTTTCAACTGGTGAATTATTCATCATAATATCCCCATTATTTTATCAGTTGGCTGATTTTTTATATCTTTCATAGGAATCGAGATAATTGAGATCAAAGGTGATGGTTTGTGTAGGCTTCCGTTAGTGGAAGTTTTTTTTTAATTGATGAAACAGAAACATACGAGAAGATTCTGACTGCTTTACCAGTTATAGTAAAACTAAATAAACCAATCTATTTCACAACCTGTTTTGGTGCTTTATACCAAGCCCTGAATAATTTTTCAAAAAGTTCATTGATTCAACCGAATCATATGACGATGATCAATCCATTTCCGCTCTGAAATATTCTATTTTTGATTGTTTCTTTTTTCTCCTGGTAACGTCATCTGTTTTGTCAATAGTTTAAAAAGGGGGGACACAAGTTCGGAATGATTCACTGAAAATGCTCTTCGCTCTCCTATCAAAACTCCTCCCCAACTCTCGGCAGTTGTCGTTTTGATGTCTCTTAGGCAGCTTGTTTCTTCCACTTCTTTCATTTTGTTGTCTTGTTTCCAGGGTTTATTATCGTTGTCCGATTTTCAGATGAAGACTACATTTCTTCTTCTCTGTGCCATCTTCGGATGTGCTGTTGCTATGAGACAACAGGTGAGTGAGGCCACCTGCGAATTTCAAATTTTAAAAATTTTAATCCCATTTTAGGCAGTTGCTGTCTCTGGAAAACTAATGTGTGGATCGAAGCCGGCATCTGGAGTCAAAGTGAAGCTGTGGGATGAGGACGATGGACCAGATCCAGATGACGTTCTTGATGAAAGTTTCACCAACACTGATGGAACATTCCGTCTCGAAGGATCCGAACGGGAATTGACAAACATTGATCCCGTTTTCAAGGTCTATCATGATTGCGACGATGGAATTCTTCCAGGACAGAGAAAAGTGAAGTTCCGTATTCCAAACAGCTACATTTCTGCAGGAGGACGTGCTAGCAAGACCTTTGACATTGGAATTCTCAATCTCGAGACTATTTTCCCAAAGGAAGAACGCGATCTTTTGTAAATAATCAATTTCATCAAATAAACAATTCCATTACAATCAAAAAGCAATATGAGAAGAAGGAATATGTTTTGTGAGACTCGAAATAGCTAATTCAAAATCGGACAGATCATATGTTTGGGTCATTTCACAAGTATAAGCATGTAATGATATGGGGGTTTTTGCAATGGGATGTGAATGTGAAGTACATGTATTGTTCGTGGAAATCATTTCGATTTCTCAATGATCGCGGAGTTCCATGGATAACTCCAAAATGTTGACAAAATCGGTGCGCCCGTAGAGATTGTATGCCGTTGTGAGAACCAATAGTACCTGATTGGATATCTGGAAACGATAAGCTATGACTAGAATACCTTGAATTGAAAACTTACGCTGCTCTGGTTTGAAAGGAAAAGCACATGACCAAGTTCCAGTCCATTTCCGTAAAATCCTTCGTCGTTGTACATCATCACATTGTTCATCAGTTCATCGATTTCTCCTATCACTGCGTCTTGATGCTGTTTTCCAGTATTCGACAAGCAGCGCAATAGGTTTTCTATGTTCGACTCTTTTGACACGACCCTGTACCGCGATTTGTTCGTGTTTGGGAAATCTCCAACGAGCAGACCAGGTCCAAGCACTCCCGTGATTGTCTCCTTCTTTCTTTTTTTCATAACTTGATTCGCTTCCTTCTCCATCTTTTGAGCTCCCAATAAACCGAGAATTTCGGCTATTGCTGACTTGACTTCTTTTGAGTTGTCTTGGAGTTTCGATATTTTGTTACAGAACCCATAAATAGCATGTTCCACTGTGTTACCGACAACTGTGACAACAGGAATACCTTGGATATCTGAGAATACAATGACGGGATTCTTCTCGGACGGTGTATCTCTCCAGAATGAAAATTTGCCGTGGGAGCATTTGAGGAACGTTTGCATCTCGGGAAGATCGGTTTCATCGCGATCCGTCATGATTAATTCAACTCCATTGACTTCTACTCCTTCTCTCAAAACCCGGAACGGTCCAATGAAAGACATGTTCTTGTCTGCCAGTTTCATGATCTTTTCTTTAAAAATTTTCATTTGATTAATTGTGTCTTAAAGGTTTCACTTACCAAGACTCTCGAACTTTTCACTTTTAAAGAATTCCACTGCTGCAGCTGGCATCCAATCCTTTTCGACTAACTTAACTTCCTCTCTGTTCATTCTTTTCTTCTGTGGTGAGACATTCTCTTTGCATTGCTCATGTTTACGTTTCTTCGGTTGCCGTTTCACCATTGCTGAAGCTAAAAACAGTGGGACGCTTTTTAACTCCGAAACAAAGTAAAAAACAGAGCAGAAAAAATAACACACGGTTTCAAACCGAATTGTGAATAAGACAGCTAAAACCTAATAATTTGAAGAAAAAACATGTTTATTTGAAGCAAAACGAACAAAGAAAAAAACAGTACTATTAAAATTCCTAATCTGGCAGATCCTATACACGTATTTTCTTGACATAAACTGTCAGTTTGATTTTTCAGGCACTTTATCCGGCGATGGAGCAATGGAGGGGCGGTTTTTCGGATCAAACGGATCCGGAAGTTTCAATCCTGACTTTGCTTCGAAGAATGTATAACTCAGTAAAATCGAATCAAGGTACTCGAGAGCTGGATCATTGACATAATCTGGGTCAATGTAGAAAAATACTGGGAGATCGACTTGCTCGCCGGGGTTCAGAATTTGTTCTTCGAAGCAGAAACATTGGATTTTGTTGAAATAGTATGCCGCTTGAAACGGTGTAAGATTGTAACTTGAAATTCCAATAATAGGTTTGTCCGTTGGATTCCGAGCTGTATAGAATGCAAGTGCAGTTTCTCCCGGGTGTACAAAGATCTGTAAAAAAAAGAAGGATTTCCTAAAATTTGTTGAAAAAGGACCTCATGCTGTTGTGGTTTGAACTCCCAGCGCATACTTGACGGTACATCAGAATTGAATTGCACTCGAATCAAACGGTCTTCGCACTTCTTCATATTCGCAATTTTGTCAAAGTCTTTGGCTACCTTTAAGAATAATGATTGGTTATCAGATTGGCTTATCAACAGTCACACCTGAGTCAAACCTCCGAAAGACGTTTGTTCGCAGAAAATCCGGTACGCGGGAATAGCAGCGAAGGTGCATCCGATAGCAACGATGACCAAACTCATTACATAGTACGTGTAATTTTTCTGATCTGCTGACTTGTCTGAACGGCTTGGCTTCTGTGAAAACGGACTATGGATTTATTGAACCTCTAAATTATCTACCTTGTTGAGTTGACGAATGGACAAGACATTGACAGCACTCGTTTTTCTCTGGAGAACGGCTAGGGTCGAGAGTGGCGATTTCGTCGTCCAAGTAATCACAGAACAAAAAGGCCTGGTTGTACTCCATAACCTGGATAAAGACATCTGAGAAGAAACTTCGAATTGTAATGACAGTAACAGCGTTTTTTTCAGAAAGATCGAGTCAGCAAACGATAGCTTTGCATTTTAAAAAAAATATGAACAATTTTTAAGGAAGAATTATTTTATTTCTGACTTGGGTGTTTTGGTTTTTCGTTTTTCTGGAGGTGCAAACGGATTCTGTTTTTCGTAAAATGCTTTGAGCATTCCAACCGATCGTTCCGCCCACACTCCAGCAACGATCTCTATATTATTCTCTTCTCTGTACTTCTCAGCACTTCCAACACTCCTCACTCCTCCGAACCGAGGATTTTCTGCACCATACACCATTTTTCGAATTCCCAGTTGGTACATAGCAGAAGAGCACATAATACATGGCTCGAGAGAGACGTAAAGAACAGATTTTTTCAGCAGATTATTGCTTTCTTCTCCGTACTTGCTCCAAATTTCTGTGACTGCCACCATTTCGGCATGCCTAGTTGGGTCTCCCGTTTCGTTCACTCGATTCCTGCCTCTTCCTATTTCTTCGCCGTCGACCACAAACACGCATCCAACTGGAACTTCGTCTTGATTCAGAGCTTCTTCTGCCAAAGTGAATGCTTGTTCCAGAAATATTCGATCATCCTCTTGCAACTCTTCTGACATTTTCCTATAAATTTGATCAGTTTCAATTTGAAACTTTCAAATTATTGTCAAGAAAAAAAATATGGGAGTAGAAGACAACTTCGCAATGACATTGATTCTAGATAAACTAAAATAATAAGTTTATTCATGAGAGCAAAAAAAAAGGAATGGTATGCGATTCTGGAGAAAACAATATTTGACAAATTTTAAAGAAAACATTTCAAGAGATCAAGTAGGAATTAGAACAGTTAGGAAGTGCTGGTCGATGGTAGAGCTTCATTTTTTGAAGCATCGAGACCAATTGTAGCTTCAGTAGTATTTGTGATCATTTGCTCGAGACAACGACCAAATTCACGAAGAACCAATTTCTCCATATTGACGATTTTATCATCTTCGGTCTGAATCTTCTCCGAGAAGTTGGTGTTCAGCTGAAATTTTGCTAGTTCGGTCAGAAACTCGTTAAATCTTCAGAGGCCGTATGCAAGAAAGTGGAAAACCGTTTTCTGATGTTTGGAAAATGGCATACTTGTAAAATTCCGGGCCGGCCCGCCAAAGCCCGGGCCTGAGGAAATCTTCAAGGGCCGGTAGAAAAAATTTTGTCATTTTGAGCCAAATTTTGAGCTCTCAATACAATTTTCTCCATTATTTTTTGTGTTTTTGGATTGTTTGTCTGTTTGATCAAAAAATATCAACAAAACTCGAAAAAAAATTTTTGATCGGAAAAAATCACATAAAGGTCCCCTCTTATGTGTTTTTTGAAATTTTCAAAACTTGTGGAATGACAGGCCCGCCGGGCCGGGCCTCCGAAATTCGGGAAAAAGCCCGGCCCGGCCCGTTACAAGTATGGAAAATGGTTTTCTGAAAGTCTGAAAATATTTTTTTTCGATTTGAAAATAGATTCGAGGCTAAAAATGACTAAAAATGCATATAAAAACTGTGAAAATTCTTGTCAGACTTTCAGAAAAGCTTTTTCCAAACACCGAAAAACGGTTTTCTACTTTCTTGCATATTAAATACCTCAGAGCAATACTAATAAACAAATGAGAGAAACATTCGAATTGTAATGTTTTCTCGGATATTCTGTAAATGAATAAATTCTTACCGCTTCTTCGGCTTGAGCAACCATACACAAGGTTGCTGCCTCAACCACTTCATCGGTCATGTAATACCATGGGAAACGTCTCGGATCTGTTTCAGGCTTTGGTTTTTGCGGCAAAAGCATGTCATCGTAGTCATCACCCAATTCATCTGTCATGACACTTCCTGGTCCAGAATCTGGAGTAGCTGTGCTTGAATTTGCGTTGGTTAACGACATCAGCGCATTAGCACCAGCTCCCGGGCCACCAGAGTTCTGTAAATAAATATTCTCAAATTTTTCCGATATTTTTAACCTACTTTGAATCTTGTCATCCGGTAGGTTTCCGTATTCTGACAGCCTTTGCACTTGCATCGATCAGTACAGGGCACTTTTGCTTCGTAGCACTCGCAATAGTTTTTCAGGCAACCGCTTTTCTTGCAGTGGCATCCCTTTTGATGCAAGCGTTCAATATCCGCGGTTCCACCACGAGCTATTCCGATTTTCGGCTTGAAAGCATTTGGATTTCGCTCCAAAGACTGACGAATGGCTTTTGATCGTTGGCTGTCATAATCTATATTGTTGTGGCAGTCCTTGCAGTTGCAGTCACGGCAAAACTCTCCGTTCGCGAAGCAGTCACAGTAGAGTTTCAGACATTGTGATTTCGTGCAGTTGCATGGTTTACGTTGTCCAGGAGCATAAACTTTCCTTAAGAATGAAATGAAATTTACAGATTGGTCTTAGTCTTCCAGTTTGAGTGGTTTTACGATTTCTGGAGGAAGACCCATCGTAGCTGCGCTCAAAAATATTGTTGAAGCAGACCTATCTAAACTCATAAGGCCCCCAGTCGTCACCTCAACCACGGCCCTGAAAGCATTACAGTCCTCACTTTTTCGTTTTCATGCGAACTTGGTTCACTTGTTCTTTCATCTCTATAAAGGCTTTCCGTTGTTCTCCAGTAAGTTCTCCTCCTGCTGGTCTACTCGCACCAGGTCTAGAGTACATTGGGGAAGCGACTGGCACGTTTCTGAGAGGATCGTAAGCTCCAGAGCTTGGTCCCGACTGAAAATTTTACATAGTCAGCGAAGAAGATAATTCATTTTTTACCTTGCGTTGCACAGCTCGAGGTGGAGGCAGGTAGACGCGATGAGGATTATGCTCCAACGTTTCTTCCTTCACAGCGACCTGAAAAGTTAATTTTTTATGATCTTTTCAAGTGTAAAACTAAACTACCTCACTGTGTTGCTCGTGATGAAGAGAACTGCTTGGTCCAGGTCGATTTCGCTGCCCCTGGAAAAACTGAAGAAGTAAAAAAAGACGAACGAAGAATTAGTTACAGGGTCATGAGGAACCAAACGGCCATCGACCTCGATGAATTCAGCTCCTTCTTCTTCATAATTTTCATATATTCCTGTTTCGTCATAAAAATCGTCGCTTTCTTGAAAGACAAGATCTCCTTCGCCGTCGTTCATTTTTTTCTGTAATAGGTGAAAATAATTATTATTATACCTAAAATTCAAAGAGAAACGAGTGTATTACAAAAAAAGACAGAAAATATCCCCCAGAAAACACTTTTTTGAAACAATTGATAATTTTCAATTTCACCGAAATTGACTAAAACATGGTTTCCCGCGCAAAAAAATGCTGAAAAGAGACAATGCACGCGCGCTCTATTGAGAATGTTTATTTGAATTTCTCCTCGCCAATTCGCTGAGTAGCGACTCAACAAACGCGTGATACGCAGTGTAGTGGCGCCAATATCCCGCGTGCAATTTTTTCTCACTTTTGTCACCACCGGTATTCCTGGTAGACGTCACTCAACATGCCACCAAAGTTCGACCCAACTGAGATTAAGATTGGTAAGATGCTCTTTCAGCGAAAAGAATATGTTAATGTGTACCCGAATGATGCTGTCGGTCTGTCTTTTGAAACTCGTTTTAGTCGAAATTGCGTCACTTTTCGAATTAACTAAACCTAATTTCGAAACTTAAACTGAAATAAAGGAAATCGGACCATTCTCCGTTTGGCTGTCGTAATTGCGCCACTTTCGAAATGTTTCGTAACATTGATTTTTCAGTGTACCTCCGTTGCGTCGGAGGAGAAGTCGGAGCCACCTCCGCCCTCGCCCCAAAAGTCGGACCCCTTGGATTGTCACCAAAGAAGATCGGAGAAGACATCGCCAAGGCTACCCAGGACTGGAAGGGTCTTAAGGTCACCTGCAAGCTCACCATCCAGAACCGTGTCGCCAAGATCGACGTCGTTCCATCTGCTGCTTCTCTCATCGTCAAGGAGCTCAAGGAGCCACCACGTGACCGCAAGAAGGTCAAGAACGGTACGCATTTCATGCGTTGGGTCGGGAGTCGATATGCTCTCATCCCCTGGTCTCTTATTTCATAAGTTTGTAAAAGTTTGTGACTTAAAGACTGGTAACCCTAAGTGATTTTCATGCTCCGTGAGTTTGATTTTTCCTGGGTACTTAATGTTGTCTCGTCCCAACGGGTTGTTTGTATCATCTGAGTTTAAGTATGCACGTTCCCATTTCAGTGAAGCACAATGGAGACCTCACTGTTGACACCATCATCAAGATCGCCAGAATCATGAGACCAAGATCCATGGCCAAGAAGCTTGAGGGAACCGTCAAGGAGATCCTTGGTACGAGTAGTGTTAGGCTTAATAAGATTCCAATGTTTGATTTTGCAGGAACCGCTCAATCTGTCGGATGCACCATCGACGGACAGCACCCACACGACATCATTGAGTCGATCGCCAACGGAGAGATCGAGATCCCAGCTCAGTGATCTGACACTTGTTTTTGTTGTTCCAATAAATTCTTGTTATACTCAGCGTGTAATTTGATCTTAATAAATTATCATGCCGAAACCTGTTCTAGCTCGCACACCGATAGAGGGACTCGTTCAATATCTGAGAAATTGGGAATAAAGCTTCTGAAATGCCGTCTAGAAATCTTGATTAGTTACTGATTGTAGTTCTTCAAATGGCAACATGTAATACGATGTGCTCGTTATCTGAAATACGGTTCCGAAGTAAAAACATGCTAATCGATAAATTAGAAGCGACCGCATCATCACGTGATGGACCTCGATCAAAATTCATTGCTGACCCTAATAAAATGGTGAAGGAGTATTCGAGATCTGCTGCTGATACACATAAGTGCAACAAGCCAGAGCTGTTGAGACCATTTCCTGTTTTAATGCAAACGGTGGACTATCTTTTGAACCTATTCAATGGACATAAAGGTAATATCGTAACTGTAGTTCATATGTTCCGGTGGTTGGTTGGTAAATGTGCAGACAACCATCCAGAAGACCGTGGTTCTACCCGCACCTTGTTTTCACGCATCCTCAGTCAGTTTTCTAGAGGTTCCAAGCGTCCAGAAAGCGTGCAATATAAGCAGTTTGTACTTTATAAGGGCCATACACGGTTTAGTTTACTCCGGCTATGGTAGTTTAACGGTACTACACTTCAACTTTTGTTCTTACTATTAGTTCAACGAATTCGATCAGACAGGCAGCAACGTGTGACATCAAGCAACTTCTCGTCTACCTTCTTATTCGTATCGGATCGTCTAAGAGCAGTTAGGCAAGATATGATTATGCAAAATCTCAATTCTACTCAAACGATTACTTTAATGGAGGTTTGTCATGAGTGGGTCGTTTAAAACTAAAAACGTTTATTTCCAGAAAATGCTTCCTTTTTATCTGGAAACCGATGGAGTCTGCAAAATGGCAACATGCTTCGGCTACAACTCAAAACTGCACGATTTTCAGCTCGAGGAATGTTTCGGGCGGTATAAGCAATCATTGAGATCGATTATATTCATCAATGTTTTCAGATGGTATGAAGAACTCAATGCGTCAAGTGATGTTACACCCCACCCGTTAATATCATCTGCATTTTTCTTCCGACAGCTACATCGCAAGCCGACCCTACTTCAAGATTTGTATACATTTCGTGGAAAGTTATCAGAAGAAGTGTTTTCTCTCACCAAAAGAGTGATATCGTCGTATAATTCGAACAATTACTATCGTTTCTTCAAATTGTTCAAAGATCTCGATCCATTGCTCCAATACTCACTCTCTGATAGCGTTTCTTACATTCGGCAATCAGCAATGCGAATCATATATACGGCTTTCAAAACACCAGTTTCAAAGCTTCCCTCTCATCTGATATCAGATTGGCTTGGATTTCCAACTGATACCATATTTTTTGTTGACTTTCTTCAATTGTACAATGTGATTCCTGATAATCAGGGCAATGTCCATATCTCTGCGATTAAGTTAATCGAAATACTAGAAAATGACCAAATATCAAGACAGTTTTAATAAATGTTTATAGTCGTTCTGGAAGTTATGTGTTTGCTTCTCATTTTTGAAACGTTTCAAACGTTGTTTCAACCATACCTTCGTTATGTCTGATGATCTTATTCAAACAGTTTGCTCCAGAAATGGAGGGTGTTTTGATGGTATCGGATCTCTCTTGGATTCAACGAGGAGTGGCAAAAGAAATCCCTGATAAAATCAAGTTGAACGATGAAGAACTCAAGAAATTGATTGAGGGAGCCCTTCCTGAATCTACAGATAACGACACTGACGGCGACGAAGAAGAAGACGAAGATAAGAAAGAAGGAATCCGTGGAAGAGATGTAGAAATGAAAGATGAGGAGTCAGATTTCGAGAAAAAATACATGCAAGGATACAATGAAAAGGAAGAGGGTGAAGAGGAGGGAGAAGACGGAATGAAAGGTATTGCTATGTATTCGACGAACAAAGACGATCCTTATGTAACGGAGCAAGTAGATTCTGATGAGGAAGAAGAGAAAGAAGAAATCATGGTTCGCAAAGATGATAATATGGTTGCTGTAGCCAAAATTGACAAAGTGAGTTTTATTCGATTTGATTATTGAAACGCTTCGGTTAAATTTAGTAAATTGATCTATGATTCAACTGATGAAGTTCCCAATTGTTTTCCTGGAGACCTTCTCAATTTAATTTTTTTCCAGGGAGATTACACTTTGGAATGCTACGTGTACAACGAGGCAGACAGTGATTGGTACTGTCATCACGACTATATTCTCGACGCTCCCCCGCTTTGTATTGAACCTGTGCAACACGATCCAGGAAATGAAGAAACTGGGAAAGGAAATTTGATCGCCGTCGGAACCATGAACTCGGAAATTCACATTTGGGATCTCGACATCATGAACACTGCCACTCCATTTTTGACTCTGGGAAAAAAAGAAAAAAAATCAAAAGGTGGAAGAAAGAAGAGAGATGGAAGTGCACAAGGACACACGGATGCAGTAATTTCTCTCGCCTGGAACAAAGTCACTCCACACGTTCTTGCTAGCGGTGGAGCCGACAAGACTGTAGTTCTTTGGGATTTGGATGAGGCCAAACCTGCACAAATCATCCCCGACCGTGGTGGAGAAGTTCAAACAATCAGATGGCATCCAAATGAGTCGACATTCTTGTTGCTGGGAACCATGAAAGGTCATGTTCAAGTTGTCGATTGCCGCGAAACGAACGGAACCGCTTCAGCAACGTGGAAATTTGATGGACAAATTGAGAAAGTTATCTGGAATCATTTCAATCCATACACAGTGTTCGTTTCTTCGGATGATGGAAGATTGCGTCATTTGGACTTGAGAAAACCAGGAGAATGCCTTTGGGAAGGTGTCGCTCATGATGGACCAATTGGTGGTCTCACATTATCAGCAATCACAAGAGGACTTTTGGTGACTGTTGGAGAAGATGAGGTATTTTCGTTTGAATTTATTATTATAATTAAAAATCATTTCTTCAGATGATGAATGTCTGGAAAGTTGAAGACACAAATGGCGGAATCGAGAAAGTTCATTCGGAGAAGCTGACCATCGGAGAATTGCACTGTGCCCAGTTCAATCCTGACGTTGCCGCTGTTCTCTCAGTCGGTGGAACCACTGCTGATCTGATCAGAGTCATTGATTTGACCAAGTATGAGCCGGTAGTCAAAGCTTTCTCCGAATAATGATTTCATTTCTTTTTCATGATTACTACATTTTTTTCCTGTTATTGTTGATTGTTAAAGTTTGAAGTTTGTTACTGGAATGAACACAAAATATATTTATTGTCAAATATCAAAAACAATGGCATCATCGATAAAAGGAATATTTTTGTGATATTCCGATTCCGGACAATTAGAGTTAAGATTCGGATCTTTCTGATTTTCTTTCCCTTTTCTACGATCTCGCCGCCTCTTGTTGAAGCACCAGATGCTGATGGAAAGCAAGAAGATCGAAATAAGTATTATACCGATCTGAAAATAGTAGTTTTCTCTCAAAATTCACTAATTGAAGTTTCACCGTTCCAAATATTGTCCAAGACGAAGATGAGAGAATCGGTAAGGAAGTTACAACATTGCTCTGTAGTTGAAAAATGATGGACGTCATTTTCGATTTACATCTTCCGAAATTTCCCTGAATTTGAATTTCGGAGAATGATCTATCATCACAATCAGAAAAAAATCTCACAATGAAAGCACAATCGGAGCTTGATAAGTATCGATTATCAATTTGAAACTGATAAAGTGATCCATCGGATGTTTCCAGCTGAAAATATTCGTTGAAAATATTATAAATCGAACCACGAATGTTACGATATCTGGCCTTCCAAATCGTCTAGTAGGGTTTTTAGAAAAACATAATCGAACGAATAACATTTCATCTTTAGAACACAATGGATTAATATCATCCACAAAGCTATATCCATTAACATTCTCGGAGAACTCATTTGAAATTCCTAGATGTTTTCGTTTGAACGTCTGAAATTTAATAAAATATTAACAAACTGTCACAATCAGAATGCATACCGGCCAATCAATCAATCCTTTATTCACAACCATTCTTATCCTCTCGTAAATTCTTCTTTCTCCATTATAGACTGCTTCAATGAAATCTCGTTCTAGAATATTCTGTCTCATTGGATGCTTACATCCATCTTCTAACAAGTGATCTATATATGGTCTATATGAAGATCCTGCCTCTAATTGGAGTTGTACACAGTGTCTAACATTTTTCAGAGGATTCTCAATACTGGAAAGACAGAATTACGAAGTTTAATAACTATCTTGTGATACCTTATTATTTCCACCGCAGAAGATGATATAAATGGGAAAGAAACGAAAAACAATGAGTTTATGAGAATTAGGTTCATTTTCATAAGCGGAACAAAGAGTTCTTACGAAGGAAAACAAATGGCGGACTATGTTAAAAAGGGGTGATAAGAAGCACAGAGCAAAGGGAACATGTTTTGATGATAATCGAGAATTTGATAAGATATAAATAGTACGCGAATGTGGTTGAAGAAGTAGTTTTATGGGTGACAGGTACAGGGTGGCGCATTATTACCCGGACTCAAGTTTGTACTAGCATAAAATTAGCGTAAAATGTTGTACCGGATCCAAATTTGGAATGCAAAAATTAAAATAATTCATCAGTAAACTGGAAAAGCTTCAATTTATTTGTTCAAATTTAGAACTGAGCTACTGATTGTCAAAGTTGATTCATCTCATGAAAATCACAAGAAACACTACGCCGTTCATCTTTGGGCAACCATAACACTCCCTAGACTTGAGAGATCGCTTTGAAAATCTCAGTAGCTTTGAATCAACACAGAGTAACGTCTGCGCATGGTATATGCGTTGGCGCGGCGCCTCATATGGACGACATAGGTACACCGTTTGCGCGCAATCGAGATCGGACATGCCGCTTCCATAATTCGTCTACATTAGAAGCTCCTTGGGGTATCGATGGCGAGACACGCCAATATTTATTTTTGGCATTGGTCGCCAATGCCAATTTATAAACAGGCATTTCACGCCTGTTTTCATAATATGAATTTTGAGAAATTGAAGGGAAAAATTGAAAGGGTTTTTGTAGATTATAGATTTTTGTAGCTATTAGGCAAATCATAGCAGTCGAAATCTAAAGAAATTAAATTAATTTTTCAGTCTTGAAAAAGGGGGGGGGGGTACGACGAATTCGAACGTTTTCAAAATCGAACAGACCTAGAATCGAACTGATTCAATTCAGAACAGTCCTTTTTTCGCACACTTACCAGAACAGAACGTGGACAGAATCGAACTGTTACAAGTTCGA